AGCATAGAATGGTGGAATATAGGTTAGGTTTTTAGATAAAATTTTTTTTTCTTTTTATACATATACATATATTTCACCTACTTATGTAGAATTATATTTTGTGGAGTTAGGGATATTAATATAAGGTTACTTTTAGATGAATAGTATCCTGGGATTAGGTTTGGGAAGTCCGGGTGGGGGGTGGGGGTGGAGTTTTCAATTGTGATGTACTTGTGATGTGTTCTTTTTCTTATGTTGAAAATAATAAAAAAAAATTTGGAAAAAAAAAAAACAAAAACAAAAACAATATACAGGTAGTTCTCAACAATTGAGCCCAAAATTCCTGTTGCTAAGTGACACAATTGTTAAGTGAATTTTGCCCCATTTAACAACCTTTCTTGTCACTGTTGTTAAGTGAATCACTACAGTTCTAAAGTTAGTAACACAGTTGTGAAGTGAATCTGGCTTCTCCATTGATTTTGCTTGTCAAAAGGTGGTAAAATGATCCTGGGACACTAACTGTCATAAATATGAATCAGTTGCTGAGCATCTGAATTTTGATCACATGACCATGGGGATGCCACAATGGTTATTAAGTGTGAAAAACGGTCATAAGTTATTTTTAGTTGTAACTTCAAATGGTCACTAAATGAACTGTTGTAAGTTGAGGACTACATGTACTGAACAAATCACACTATTGTATGATTCTGTGTGGGATATGAACTGACTTGAGTTTACTCAACCTAACTGTCTAGACTAAAGACACACAAAATCTGGAACAGAATAACAGAGTTGGAAGGGACCTTGGAGGTCTTCTAGTCCAACCCGCTACTCAAGCAGGCGATCCTATACTATTTCAGACAAATGGCTGTTCAATCTTAAAAACCTCCCCACACAGCACTCACAACTTCTGGAGGGAAATCAACCCCGAATTTGTCCAAACACAATGAATGTTTCTTCATGTGATGAAAGAACATATGCGAAAGAGTGCATTCAGTATTTCATACAATTAGAAACTGCAAAGGGCCTCTTAAAGCCTCTTAAGCTATCAAGATCAAACCTCTGCTCAGTGCAAGAATTCACATAAAAAAAATCTAGAGGCTGTACCGCTTCTAGAATATTAATTCCACTGTCACAGTTTTTCCTTACAGTATGAACCAGTTGGGTCTATTCAAATGGAGGGCAGAAACTAGCCATGAGGCAAGGGTGCTTTAAACCAGATTCCTGCCCTGAGTGTGAATCTGGAATCAGTGATGTAAATAACATTTTCCAGCTCAACAATGTTAACATTTGATTGGAATCTGCTTCTGATATTTTGATATCCACTATTCTATATCTTGCCTTCACAACTCTGGAACTGTTTTTTATAAGACTGATAAAACTCTCCCCAGATAGCCATATACAATGGTAGAGCCAAGTACATTTTGGGTCAGTGTTTTTCAACCATGGCTACTTTTAAGTTGTGTGGATTTCAATTCCCAAAATTCTCCAGTCAGCATGGGCAATGGACCTGTAAGTTTGGTTTTTTTTAAATATCTCTGCTATTATAGATAGCCTGTGTTTAAAAGATATTATAGAAGAGGCACATGTTTTACTGGACAAGTCTGAGATAGATTTGAAAGGTGAACTACTGCATATATAATGAATACCAGCTGAGGTCTTAATATTAGAAATGATATACAAATAATAAATAAACCAAAAAGTGACCTGGATAATTTTCCTATACTGGATTTAAAAAAAAAAAGTCTTGTTAAAGTTTTGAAGGATTTTATGAGAGGGAGAAAGAAAAAAATGAAAAGAAATCCAGTACCTGAAGGGATTAAAGATCAATATTGTTAGAAGTAAAAGGAATATAAAGTTGGTTTATTTGATCAAGGTTAAATTAGAATGTTATCTCTGGTTACCTTTACTGGACTTTTACTAACTGGGATCAAATGGCCACCTTTACATTTGCTTACAAATAAGAGATGAGATATGGGAAGAAGTTATCATTTGTTGTATTTTAAGAGAAAGTGATAAGTTACTAAAATGCATATACTTGTTATGAAGGAATAAATCATTTCTTTACATATTGTTCTTTTATTATTATTTTTTCTTTTCTATTTTTCTTTCCATTTTTTTTTACTTTTTAGTTTGCATTCATTCCTAATATTCAATGGTAATATTTAATATATATTTTTAAGAACTCTCCCCCACCATCCCCAAATAGCCATAAAACACCTTCAGGCTGAGTGTTACAAGTACAGCTGAATCCGAAGGCATCAGCCAGAGAGAATTTCACTTGTGCTGTCCTAAGTTTCTTAAATCATTAAGTTACTGAGTCATGAAGACCTTGGTTACTTTGGCCACACACTTCGTGAAGGTTTCTATCAAGAGTTTTTCAAATTTGGCCGTATTAATACGTGCGAACTTCAACTCCCAGAATTCCCCAGCCAGCTGAAAGTAAGTTCACACATTTTTATGCGGTCAAGGTTGAAAAACACAGCTTTATAGTGCAGTCTATTGCCATCACGAAAGGGTTAAAAAAAATAAACGCCACAGCCAAGCTCCTAGAGTGGCTCGGCGAGCGCCATCCAAAGGGAGGGGATGTAAGGTGCGACCATGCTTTCCCGTTCCGTCCAAAGATGGAAAGAAATGGAACGTGGCCTTCGATTTGATCCCCTTTATTTCCTCGAGGGGAACCGCACAGCGGTGAGTCCCGGGCAAGGAGAAAGGGACGAAAGCCAGAGGCGAAGCGGGCTGGAGAAACTAGGAAGACGCCTCGCTTTGCCTCCCTCCACCAGCCACGTGGTTCTTGGGATCGGGAGGCTTTTTGGGATCGCGGGAGGGTCACCTTTTTGGGGGCCGAGCGGGCCCACCTGAAGTTGCTTTGTGGCTTGCCCTGATAAATGCACGCGTGTCTTTCCAACCCTTGGAAGTGTGTGCACGAAAGATTCGGGTCTTCCTAGGTTGATTCGCGCTAGTTTTAGACGGGTTTGGGGGGGGGGGAAGAACCATGCTATACAGTGCAAGTCTGCAGGTGGAAGATGCTGGCTTGCTTTTGCTTTGAAAACCAACCCAAAGAAGCTCCCTGCAAGTCGAGCATCGCCACGGCCGGAAATCAAAGGTTTCCCCCTCGCTTTCTCTCCTTGTTGGGTTAGTCTTCTGCTTGCAGGGAGACTGGCAAGCTGGTTTTGGCAGCGCGAGCGTTGAAAAGTGTGCGCTTCCCCATTCGTGTCCTGAAGTGGTGCAGTCCGCTCTTCCGCTGCATTCGGAGGCGAGAGGGAAGCGCGAGGTAGACTGCATGAAAGCGAAAGGTGAGCCAGCAGGGCCTTTCCACTGACACTTTGGGAGGGGGGTTTCCCTATTTAACCCCTCTCCTCCCAAAACTGCCTTGCTAAGCGGATCGCGTCCGTGTCCGGAGGAAGACTCGGGACGGTGATCTCGGCCCACTTCTTTAGCCAGCCCGGGGCTAATGGTAGCTGGCAATGGTCGTGATATAACCTTCACGACCCCCCAGTTTATTTTGTTTTCTGCTTTCCTTGTGTATTTCGTGGCCCTAAAAATCATCTTGCATTTTTTTCTTTCATTTTTGCATGGAAAAGAGGGCGTGGCAGTTTATTATTATTATTATTATTATTATAATTATAATTAAATAGTGTAATCTTCGACTGTCAGTATTCCTTCCCTTTCTCTCAAGATGTGCCTGTCTTGTGTTTATTCCTCTCAACCATTTCAGATGTTTTCACCTTTTCTGCCTTGTGACAGGATCTGCATCCCAGAATACTTATCTTTCTTCTGCTCTTTTCCAAAAGCTTTGGGACAAGACCCTCCTCCCCTAACTCATATAGCTAAGATCATATATCTACATTTGAAATAACTTCTTATTGTTTTCTTGTATTGTTTCTTTTCCTAGTTCTTCTTATTTTTAGATTGTAAGAGCCTTGGGGCAGGGAACTGACCTCATTCTTTATGGATAACCTCATGGATTGTTGATTTTTAAAAAAAGATAAAAAGAATAAATGGGAAGCAGAACAAGGCGACAGAAGAGACTGCATCTCTGCAAATAGAAAGCCACAGCATTTTCTCTGGTGCCCTAAATCCTTATTTGCATTTTTTTAAAGTATGAGACCTATCTACAGTATTACTATTTGTTTTCTCTTTCATTTGCAGCTCATTCTTTGCTAGGTTTAGTATTTTTGTGCTGCTAAGAAGGTAATCAGATAAATTTCACCTAGCTGCAGTTTTATTTATATACTTTTGGTGTGTAGTCAGAGCACCTAAGGGACTGTATCTGATAGTTTTGATGAATGGATACTACATTGGGAATAATTAAAAGGCTGTATAAATTTGTTAGTGTTTATGGTTATCCCCCTCCCACAAAGTCTTTTCTAACCAACACTGCCTTAATGGTAACGATGGCAGCTGAAAATTTTCACCTGAGAGGTGATTATGAATAAATCTTATCAAATACATTCAAGTGGAATTAAAAAAAAAAGATATGGAGAGAATGTTGACGGCAAAGCATTATATCAAAGCTATAATGCAAACTTTAAACAAAACAGTAACCAAGGAAATTGGGTGGCATAAATTGAAAATAATGTTACTTTAAAAGACTATCAGTCTCCCATTTTTTTCTGACAGGAATATGCCCACACTGCCTTGTTACAGATTTCACTAGCCCCTGCCGAAGTCTGGCCCCAGAGCGCTTTGAGAGAGGCTGCAGGAGAGACACAGCTGCTCCGTTGGCAGCTCCTCGGGCCACAAAATGGCTGCACAGCAATACCCAAACAACATGGCTGCTCTTTCAAAAGAGGTAGAGGACATGAGATGTCCCTTGCAGGTCCCAGTGAAAATGGAAATTCCCTGCCAAGCAGATGACAGTGCAAAAGGGGGAGAGGGAAAAGGCCTTGCCACCATTCCATCTGAAACCAGTGAAGATTTCACAAGAGCGGCATCCAGGGTGAAGCAGGAGCTGGCAGAAGAGCAACCGCAAAGTTGGGAATGCCAGTGGCAAAGAGTGCTAGAGGTGGTGCCTGCTCCCTTCACCACTCCAGTCTGGGACAGCCTGCAGCTGCCTCCTTTGATTCAAGGGGGCAGCACTGAGGCCTATCTGGCCACCTTTGAGCGTGTGGCGGATGCTTCCCAATGGCCACGGGAAGAGTGGGTGACTCGTCTTGTGCCAGTCCTTAGCGGACAAGCTCAGCAGGCCTATTTCAGCCTGGATGCAAAAGACAAAGCTGATTATGGGAAGGTGAAGGTGGCCATTCTGAGGCTGGATGACTACCTCGCCATTGAGGCGCACCGCCAGCGTTTCAGGCATTTCTGCTACCTGGCTGCCGATGGGCCTCGGATAGCATGTCAGCAACTGCAGGAGCTCTGTCACCGCTGGCTGAAGCCCGAAGGCCAGAGCAAGGAGCAAATCCTGGATCTGCTTATCTTGGAGCAGTTCCTTGTCATCCTTCCACAGGAAATGCAGGACTGGATTAGGGAGCGCGGTCCGGAGACGTGCAATCGAGCGGTGGCCTTGGCAGAGGAGTACCTGCAGGAGCAGCAGGAGACGGAGAAGTGGGCCCAACAGGTGAGGAAGAATGGAGGACTCTCCAGGGTAGGCAAAAGGGAAAACGCATTTTGCTGCCATGGGAGACCAAGAAAAATCAGGGCTGTAAGTTGAAAACAGCAGCCTAGAAAAAGGCAGTAACAGACCACTCCCGATCTCTTGCTTAGAAAACTTCATGAAGTTCAAGAGTAAAGTTCGGTTATAGGAGATTTTTTTAAAAAATTATACATATGCATGCATAAAGTGTATTTATACATACATACACACACACATACACATGCTAATATGAAGAAATGGGTATTGTTTTAGCCTTTGCAAGCTGCTAAAGAATTAGGCAATTAGTACACCCCAAAACCATCAACTTACAACAGGTTGCTTAACAACTGTTCCAAGTTCTGAAGGAACTAGCTAAGGATACTTACAACACAAATTTGATCCTCCCCCCTGTCATGTGATTGCACATTCAGCAACTGGGCCATATTTGCATTTTATGACAGTTTTGCCAAACACTGGCATTTACATCCAGTTTTTGGCAAAACTGCTCATAGTGAAACTGTTGGTTCACTTAATGACTGCCACAAAAAAGGTTATAAGATCAGGTTTAGAACCATCATAAGTGTATGACTGAAGGGCAGGCTCCATTACAGTCATAATTCGAGGACTATCCCTATTGCAAAAGGTGTATAATAAATTATGGTTTCTTATAAGACTCTTCTGAAAAAGAGTATACACACCCAAACATACACACAGACTTATCTATATGCATACAAATAATGAACAAAATTGCCTACCCAATTCAAAAAGCAGCATGTGTCAAACAAATGGGAAGCGCAAACCAAATCTTTAAAATTAACTGTGATTCTGTTTGTAATCAGTTATGATTGGTTGGAAGATACTAGACAAACCAGTATGTATTTCCATGCTGATGACTGTACTAAAGTTGTAGGTATAGACACCATTTCTATATGTAAATGAGCCAAGTTGGGTAGGTTGTGGGAGGAACTGTTCAGCAAACTATCTGCATTGTTTGGTGTGATTGCAGTGCTTGTTACAGCAATCACTATTTATTTGTTTTGATTATTGAGGGATCACATACTATGCTGCATATCCCATCTTCTCTGCCTAGTTTTAATTTTGTTATATTTATGGGCAGTGCTTTTCTTTGTGCATCAATAAAGATTAGAAACTTGACTTAACATGTCAAGTTAGTGTGAAAAGTTCTGCACTCAGCATCAGTTTCAAAGCCCTATCCCTTGTATCCAGCACACATGCCTACAACTCTTAACATATATCCTATCCTTGGATTAGCTACTCTAACCATGTCTCTTTATCTTTGTTTCAGGTAACTGTACCAATTGAGATGGTGATAGTTAATTCTCCCACTGTAGATCAGGCCCAGTCAGAAGCAAAACATCTCCACAAAGAAAACAAACAGGTTGACAGTGAAAATAGTATTTCTCAAGGTAACTGTTTTATTTTATTAAACTATATATCAAAAGAAAACTATATGTTCAACAGTGTTACTACATAATGCAATGCTCAATGATTATCATAAAAAAGAAGAGGAAGCCTTGAAAAATTAAGTTTGAACAAAAGAATTCCAAAAAGATTTGACCATATTGCTCAAAATTCTTCATTGCCTCTTTGTTGAAAAACAAAACAAAACAGAGACTGGCTAACAGCACATTTCAGCAACCCACTGCTACAAGCCAAGCCCTGTTCTGTTATTTCTCCATGGCTCAAAAATTATGATTCTTGATGTCTTTATAATTTCCAAATATTGTAGATATTACCCAAAAAATGCTTATGCAATTCAAATGCAATTTCTAATATAACAGGAAATGAATTTCATGTTACTTAAAGCAGCCTTCCATTTATTTACAAAGACAGGACATTCAATCTGATTATTCAGAGACTTGAAATAATTGACATAAATACAATTAGCTCTCTTCTCCTTATAAAAAAGGGAGATTGTTTGCAAAGTAATCATAATGAAGGTTTTTCAGAAAGAAAGGATTTGCTGCTGATTTTTTTATTATTATGTGCGTTTTACGCTACAATATTACAGTCTGGTTTCTGTTAACCCTTAACTTGGATCCTCGATTAATTTCTTCTCTTCTGAGAAAAGAAATGGATTCAAAAATGTGACTCAGTACAGGTAGTCTTCGACGTAGAATCATTCGTTCAGCAGCCGTTCACAAGTTACGATGGCACTGAAAAAGTGTCTTATGACCGGTCCTCACTCTTATGACCATCACAGCATCCCTACAGTCATGTAATCAAAATTTGGAGGCTTGGCAACCAGTATGTGTTTACAACAGTTGCAGCATTCTGGGGTCATGTGCATTTGCAGCCTTCCCAGCTGGCTCCTGACAAGCCATCAGTGGGAGATGCCAGATTTGCTTAATAACTGTGTCATTCCTTTAACAACAGCAGTGATTTGCTTAACAACCATGGCAAAACAGGTAGTAAAATTGGCCACACTTCATTTAATCACCTTGCTTTGCAGTGGAGATTCTGGTCCCAATTACGATCATAAGTCAAGGACTATTTATATGTATCTGACTCTATCCTACAAAAAAATTAAAAGGTAACCTTGCTTTTAAGGAATAAAGCAATTGACTGCTAGTACAGGTACACCTTGATTTACAACAGTTCATTTAGTGACTGTTCAAAATTACAATGGCACTGGAAAAAAGTGACTTAATGACCATTTTTCACACAACCATGCGGCATCCCTGGGATCACATGATCAAAATTTGGATGCTTGGCAACTGGTTTATATTTATGATGGTTGCAGTGTTTTGCGACTCCTGACAAGCAAAGTCAATGGGGAAGCCAGGTTTACTTAACAACCGTGTCACTAACTTAACAACTGCAGTGATTCACTTAACAACTGTGGCAAGAAGGGTTTTAAAATGGGGCAAAACTCACTTAACAAATGTCTCAGCAACAAAAATGTTGGGCTTAAGTTGAGGATTACCTGTGTTAAGCAAGAGGGAAGAGCAATTAAAGGAGAAAATTACATGAGAATATGGAGGGAAAGTCTGGCCTTCATCTCTAATAAAATTCTCCCACCTGGTTTTTAATGCAAAACATCCAAAGGGCTCTGGATAGATAAACTTTGTGATGACCTTAAGATTTCCAGAGAGGGTTTGGGATATACAACCAGAAAGGGGGGGAAAAATCAGTCCACCTTGAAGCATAAAAGTGGGACTGCCTCTCTACCCATTCAGGGTGAATGGCAGTGAAATCATTGAAGGTAAGACAATGGAATGGAAGTGAGATGAACATTAAGGATAAAATTACACCAAAATGAAGAAAAGAAGTCTTGTTCTTGAAAGAGGACAAATTTGACATAAAGCATTGGATGAGGAATAGGGACCTCCTGACTGTTTTTAAGTTTGACATCCCAGTGTGGAACGTGAAACAGCTTAAATTGTTCAATGCTGCCCTTATTTTTTTTAAATGATTTTATGTATACACAGTGTAAAGTTGAGCTTCCCAGTATGCTGAATTTAACACAAGGACCACAACTTACTCATTTTAGGAATCGTATCATCTGCCAGAACAACCTATATCATTCTGATTAGCTGAAATGATATTCCACAGATACAATGCTATTACAGGTAGTCCTTGACTTACGATCACAATTGAGTCCCATTTCTTTTACAAAACGAGACAGCTTTTAAGTGAGTTTTGGCCCATTTTACGACTTTCTTGCCACAGTTTTTAAGTGAATCACTGCAATTGTTAAACTAGTAACACGGTTGTCAGGTGAATCTGGCTTCCCCATTGACTTTGTCAGAAGGTCACAAAAGCTGATCACATTGACCCCAGGACACTGCAACCGTCATAAATACATGCCAGTTGCCAAGCATCTGAATTACGATCACATGACCATGGGGATGCTGCATTGGTTGTAAGCATGAAAAACAGTCACAAGTCACTTTTTTCCGTGCTGTTGTAACTTTGAACGGTCACTAAATGGACAATTGTAAGTCAATAATTACCTGTACTACATACCTTGATAAACCAAACATAGCAACTATAAAATTTTGGTCTTTCCTATCGCTTGTTTTTCTTCAATCAGAAGACAATTTTGCCAGAATGGGGGCAAAGGATATGCACCAAGGAGAGTTGGAGGCAGAGGAACGAGGATGGAGGTCTCCAGAATTTGGAGAGGTCCTTTTCCCAAAAGGCAGCCCCAGAAGATCTCACGTGAGCAAGTGTGATTCAGAAAGACCTCAGAAAGGCAGCCTTTCCACAAGGATGATGAAGGATGAAGTGTTTGGGGGAGTCCCGACCGACCTCGAAATGAAACGACATCTGTGTAAGGAGTGTGGGAAAAGGTTTCGGAAGAAGTGGGATCTCATCAGGCACGAAAGGATCCACACGGGTGAGAAACCGTATCAATGTCCAGAATGTGGGAATAGCTTCAACCGGAACACAACCCTCACAAAACATCTCCTCATTCATTCAGGAGAGAAGCCTCACCAGTGCACGTACTGCGGAAAGAGGTTCACACGCCGTTCACATGTTGTGAATCACCAGAGACGCCACTCGTGGTAGGTATCCCTCTGTTTCCCTCAGCTGTGTGGTTGGGAAACTCGCAATTCACTAAATCCCCTGTGTGGCCATCTTGGGTTCTTGGGAGTAAAAGCAACAGCTAAAATTAAGAAAGTAATAGATATGTGAGTTGAAAGGAAACGTGGGCAGGAGGAGCACGTTGGTGGTAGTTTGTTCTCCGAACTTGTTTAGTTTCTGAATGTTTCGTCACCAGGCTAGGTAACGTCATATTACTTAGAACAGGGGTCCCCAGCACCTGGGCCATGGTCCGGTATCGGGCCTTGGCATGCCAGAAATGGGGCTGTGGAGACAAGCAAAGCCCCATCCGTGGGATGCAAGCAGCATGTGAAACCCTGCCCCCTCCAGTCCACGGTAAAACCTCTCTCCACGGAACCGGTCACTGGTGCCAAAAAGGTTGGGGGCCGCTTACCTAGGAGCATAGCCTGGTAAATCTTTATTGACATTTCCTTCTTAAGGGATCATTATAAATCAGTGTTTCTCAACTTTGGCAACTTTAACATATGTGAACTTCAACTCCTAGAATTCCCTAGGCAGTTGAAGTCCATTTATATTAAGGTTGAGAAATAACTGTAATAATGAATGTTCAGATTGCAGAAGAAAGGAGGTAGGCTGTACTAATTAGGATGGAGAAAAAACATTTTCATTGGCGCTACAAAGTTCCCATCAGGTGGAGATTGAAACAAATGCCCATTGAAAAGCAAGTGTGGAATACGGGGATGTCGAGAATTTCCCAAACTGCAGTCCTAGGATAACCTAGCTAACATTGTGAATGGTGAGGGATGCTGGCAGTAGAAATCAACAACACCTAGAGAGCTACAGGATTCTTGCTCCTTTTTAAGGAGACAAAAGAGAGATAGGGACTGTTGTCTGATTAAAGAGGAAGGTAAATTCCTCTATAATCAGTCAGCCTTACTCTTGAGTGTCTTTTTGCGTACTTACCCAGAAATCAGCCTCATTGGACACAGGAGCTGTGACTGATCAACACACTTATTTGGGTTATTTTTACGTACAACATATTAAACCACTGTTTCTCAGTCTTAGCAGCTTTAAGAGGTGTGGACTTCAACTCCCAGAATTCCCCAGCCAGCATGAGTTTTGATGAAAAACACTGTATTAGATACACCCCAGAAACGCAGCCAGTTCAGATTCAGAAGACGAATCATTTTAACTCCAAAGCATCCTAAGTCAGTTGTTAGACAAAATTTCTGGCCAGAAAATCACCAAATGCAGAATACCAGCCACTTCTGAGCTAATAGTGCATTGTCCAGTTAATCTTGCAAGGAAACAATATGTGACAAACAGAACTGGAAATATAAGACAAAACATTACAAAATTTGCTGCTATGGTCTGTCAATCAAAGTAGTTGTCTCTCCCCCCCCCCCCAAGAGAGATTAGCTGCTATGGCCAAACCATCATATTTGCCTGCTGCCTGGTTAGCTAATGGAGAAGGGGGCCCTTGATGAAAAGGAACCTTACAAGTGCTTTCTATGTACAAGGATCATGGATGCTGAGCAAAACCAAAAGAAGAGGTTAGGAAATCCATATTTCCCCAAATGGTGGCATTAGACCCAGTTAGCATGATTGCATGCTGCCAGATCTATCTATAAACCTGGGTTAATAGCAGTCTGTGTTAAAAAATATGGTGAAGAAGGGGAAAAAATGGCTTTTCTTTTTTCTTCCAAAATGAGTTCTGCATCCTAGTTTCAACCTCTGGCATCTTTAGAATCAGAGAACAGATGAGCTTTTAGAGCAGGGGGTGTCAAACTGCCGGCCCGCGGGCCAGATGCATCATGTGGGGCAGGTTTTGTCAAACCTGCCCCATAGCAAAAACATCGTAAATTACAGTCATGTGACCATGGAGTGCTATAAACAGCCATAAATGCAGTCATGTGATCACAGGAGGGGGAACCCGATGTCAGAACTTCAAAACTGGGTTGTAAGTATCTTTTGGAGGGTTCATCATAACTTTGAAGAGCCATTATAAATCGAGGACTATCTGTACTAGGACTATGTATATGAGTGAATGACATGCAAGCTGATTTTTCACTTTTGTTTTAAGGGGCTGGATCATTTTTTTCTGAATGTCCTCTTCAATCCTTTTCTAAATGTTAAAGGCTGTCCAATTTCAGCTAAATTATGGCCCATTTGAAAGAGGACCGGTCTTGATTTTCTTATTATTCTGATAATCTGTTTTCCACTTTGTTTGCAGCCAAGGAAGATCTTGACAAAAGGATCTACTGCTTCCAGTTTGTGCAACAGATTGAGAAGTCCTGTACGACGGGGGAATAAAGGTAGTTTGGTTTGTGTCCTGCAGGGCTTGGAATCCAGACCAGGTGTGGGAGTGGTGTGGAATAATGTCTATTTGCTCTTTGTCCACATCTTGAATTTGAACAAAATGTGTCTAAGGACACACACAGCTCTCAGGGGAATCAACTCTGTTGAGAGTGCAAAGGAAAATCTGTACATATTTATGCCATTCAGTGAAGATAGACTTCATCCAAGTCAAAACTATTCATCCACATTTTACTTGATCCAGAATGGGAGTGAGGAGATTGAGTTCCTGTTTATTTATTTTGAATTTTTGGACCGCTTGCTGGCTAGAAGTGAGTATTTCATCACGTCACTGATTCAATCCTTAGTGTAGATAAGTGAATACTCCTGGGAAAATAGCTAATTTTGATCAGTATTTTTGTATCAGCTAAAGCCTTGTGAAATCAGAAAAATCCTTTTCCCTGCTTTGCTGTACCAATGCCCAAAACAAATGAGGCTCATTCAGGAAGTAAGATTTAAAGGCAAAACATCTTCTAGTAATGGAGCAGGCTGGCAAAATGATACTTGCCAACTATTTTGGGAGGCAGTCCACAGATTTAACCCATGAAGATGGAACTCACTGGAAAAGCGATACTAACCATTAACTCAGAATAAAAGAAATTCCATGTTTTAAAGCTAGAGGCAAGACTGATTGATTGATCAAGAAGCACTGACCTAGTATGCTCTTAAATGCAAATTTATATCCAGAATGTGTTCCCATCATGGAGACTTCAGTCCTTTTGCACCTCAGGTTGCTTAGATGTAGGTATATGTTTGGCAGTGCAATTTGGGGAGGGAAGGCCAGATAGGAAAACAGAAAGCAAAGTGGCCTCATTGTATGTTGTGCTTGCTGTGATGGATTTTTATATTGCTCTCTGGCAAGTTCTTAGCGGTAATCATACTTTTACTGCAAGGTTAGAAAACTGGCCTTCCAGTGGCTGCTGAAGACAGCTCTCAGCCTTCCTCACAACTGGCCGTGCTGGAATAATGTGAAGTGAAACTGACTTGGCTATTTAACGATTCATTTTTTATTCTGTACAGTAGAAAACCAGTGCAACATTTGTTTACATAATAAGTTGTTTTCCCTTTTTACAAACAGTCTAAAAACTGCTTAGAGATACTTGATTACAGAATTCATAAATTAATTTTCACAAAGACAAACATCTGTTCTAATATATTGTCAAATCATTTTGGCTTTTCAGGCTCTTAAAATCCTATTCTAACTAAGTGCATATATTTCACATCAGAGGAAAAAAATTGACTTTTCTTCAAAGCTGGATCCTTTTTAAAAACAGTACACCACAGATAAAATCTGGAATAACTTCAAATCTTATGGCCATTATGTGGGGAATATTTATTTTCTAGGAATAGTCTTTTATATATTCTTCATTTTCTATGGCTGCCTTTTTAGCATATATGAGATAACTGCTATCTTTATGATACAAACTTTCAAGTTTATTTTGTACACTATCATAATCAACAAAGACATGTCAGTTAACTTCATTAAAAACATAATTCTACCTTGATGGTTCAACTGATGGACTTTTAATTCATTAATTTAGAGGTTTTAGGCAAGCTACTATGCATTCAGTCTTCTCATCTGCAATATTTGGTTAATGCCAAGCTAAAAAGAAAGTTGTAAGAATTACTGAAAGTGTTTGTTAAATGCTTTGCATAAATGAGAAAAAGACCATATACAATCAGAAATGTGTTTTCTCAAGAATCTCTCTCTGCGTTCCAAAGAGTGTCTTTTTTTACAATCCACTTAAGCATTCAATGCACTATATATACAATATAAAACAATAGCTATATTATTTACATCCTCATTTTAAGTTTATTGAGCATGATTCCTGTCTCTCAATCCATAAACATCCAGGTTGTTCAATTTAATTATTCCACTTAATAACATTAAACATGATTTTGTTACATGATTCTGGAGTGGAAAACATGAGCAGAAAACCCAGCCTTTCTTAGCTGTTTTCTAGACTTTTGGACATCAGACTAAGAGAAGCTGAACTGTGCACCATGTTGTGATCCGTTGATCAACTCTCAGCAAGGAAATAGATCCTGGTCACTTTTTAAAGGTCTTCTCCCTCACGGTTGCAGTTCATCAGCCCAGTGCTTCTGCAGCATAAAAGTAATTATATTGGGTGAAGACATAAGTGAAGCAGGTACAATATATATAGGAAAAATAAAGAAGATAAAGTATCAGTTTGCCTAAGCTATAGTCAAAATTATCAATGGTGAAGAGAGGAAAAATATTGATCCAAAGAAGAAAAGATTAACTCACAATTCAAAGTTTCAATTAAATCAGGACATAAAACTGCTGAACTTAATTCAGGAAATAAACATTTCAAGATAAACCACACAAGTCTAGGAATAACAGCAAGAGTTTTACCTGAGAGGAGGAGGGATCAGCCTCTAAGTTACCATAGCAACCTTTATGGTGACGAATCAGATCTCCCCAAAGGATAAGATTCTTGCAGCTGAGGAAAAGGGGGAAACCAGGATATTGTGAGTTTTAGTCTCACATCGGACATAAAAGACTGTTGTGGGGATAATAGGAGGAGGAAGGCATATTAGGTATGTTCACCACCTTGAGCTAGTTAAAAAGTAATACAGGTGGGATAAAAGCCAATAAATAAATAAATGGAGCTAACAATTGGGAAACAGGTGCAAGGGCAGAATACCAACATCTACACCTCCACATCCTCCCCCAATGCACAGAAGAAATTGCTCACCCTGGGCACTGCCCTTCAATGGGCAGGATATGATTAGGCTCCTTTTCCAGGAAAAGACGAGACAGGCAAAATATATGAGCAGCCATGGTACAAGTTGAATGAAAACAGTGCAAGGGAATGTCCTCGTCCCCATCCTGCAGAGAGGAATTTGAGAAAGAGTGCACTTCAGTCCAGAGGAATCTGCTGCTCCCCAAACAAATATAGGGTTAACTGCCGCCATCTTTTGATCTCAAGTCCAGTTCTTCCCCGCCCTTCCTTGGTTAAAATTATTTCCTCCACTTCAAATCCAATTCTGCCTTAGAGGAGGCATCTTATAGAAGCTCAGCTCCCATTTTGTCAGAGCAAACCTGCCTCTTAGGATCCACTCAACCTCTAGCCCAGGGGTCTTCAAACTTGGCCCTTTTATGACTTATGGACTACAACTCCCAGAATTCCTTAGCCAGCGTGCCTGGCTGAGGAATTCTGGGACTTGAAGTCCACAAGTCATAAAAGGACCAAGTTTGAAGACCCATGCTCTAGCCTTTCTGTTTGTGGAAAGAACACAGCATCCCTGACGGTTACCTGGAAGGTCTTCAGACAGACACTACAATGTTTTGTGATCGCCACTTGTTCCTCGGGAGATAATGGTTCATCATGCTTACTGTCTTTGACAGCTCGAACTGGCCCAAAGGCTATGGGCATGTGTAAGGGGGGTTCCAAGCCTGGAGGGAACTCTCGGCAGTACTCCTGCTTGAGCCATCGTACGGTGAGGGGCAGACGGCACCATGGGGCAGTTTGCAGCATGTGGGCCAAGACACGCAAATGGAAGTCAAACTGACGCTCCCGTGTTTTGCGGCGGGTGACATGGGTGAGACGGCGGGAGGAGTGAGGGTGCTGCCAGGCCCACTCAAACTGGAAATTAACAAGAGACAAGAGAGATTAAATCAAATGGGATTGCTGGAATTTAGGAAAGAACGGAAGGGGAAGATCTTCCCACCTACTCTTATGGTTTAAGTATGGCTTTTTCAATCATAGGTAATCTTCGACTTACAGCCAGAATTGGGACCGTTGCTAAACAAGGCAGTTAAGTGAGTCACATACAATTTTATCACCTTTTTTGCCATGGTTAAGCAAATCACTGCAGTTGTTAGGTGAATCATGGAGTCATTAAGTGGAGTCCAGCTTCCCACATTGACCTTGCTTGTTGGAAGCCAGTTGGGAAAGTTGCAAATGGTGATCACATGACCGTGGGATACTGCAACCATCATAAATACATGCTGGTTGCCAAGTGCCCAATTTTGATCACATGACCATGTGGATCCTGCAACAGCAGTAAGTGTGAGGATTAGTTTTAAGTTATTTTTTTCAGTATTGTAATTTTGAATAGTCACTAAATGAATGGTTGTAAGTCAAAGACTACCTATATTCAACTGGCTGGGTTCCCACAACATACTGAATCCCATACTAGGTTTGGTGAACACACAGAACCTCAAGCTAGCTAACCACATTTTAGGTTGCCATATTCTGTGAATCCTGAAGAAACAAAATAAGTACTGAAAAGTGCCTTACGCGTAAAGCAGCCACATCAGAGGGGAAACCATGAACAATCAACACCATGTCCCTGCAAGAAGAGAGAAATGCATGAAGCCCAAAAGGACAGCAACACATTTGTCCCAGAAAGCTCCAGTTCCAGCCTTCTGAACTTTTGGCCTCACTGAGATCTCATCACAAAAGAGAAAAACCAGATAGTGAAAAAACAGTTTCCTATAAAGCAGGGGTCCCCAACCCCCGGTCCGTGGACTGGTATCCGGCCATGGCATGCCAGCAACCGGTCCACAGAAAAAGCAAAGCCCCAGGCAACATACAAAACCACGCACTCTCCGGTCCGTGGAAAAACCTCCATGAAACCAGTCCCTGGTCCCCAAAAGGTTGGGGACCTCTGCTATAGAGCAGTGTTTCCCAGCCTTACCCAATGTAAGATATGTGGACTTCAAACTCCCAGAATACCTGCTGGTATTTAAGAAGGCCACATTTTAAAATGGCTAAAATTGGGAAACGCTCGTCTGGAATTTCCCAAGGTTTTCCCCCTACATCTGGTTGGGGCTGAGAAGAAGCTGTATTTTCACTTCACAAATGTGGAACCCATGGTAGATTTGCGAACACAGCATCTTTTACACACTCTTGAATTACCATGGCCCACGTCCACTTGTCTTCCAGGCCCCACCACGCCGCTTTCCACCATTGTGTTGGTCTATGCGTCGTTCGGGATTGACAGTGAAGCCAATGTAGATCCGTCCCTGGTAACGGGGGTTGGTGCAGTATAGTAGATATACTCCAAAGAAGCCACATATTTCCACCACCATTTCTTCCACAAAGAGGAACAGGCTGGAGAAACCTACATGAAAGAAGAAATCAAATTTTATAAAAGCTGAACACCCATAATTGTATCCACCCATCAACAGAATCCAACAAACAGGGCTGATAACTATCAGGGGATCGGCATAGCTTACAAATGTTTTCGAACTACAATTCCCAGCATCGCTTGCTAACAGTCATCTGGCTGCTGCAGCTGGAATTGTAGTTAAGCCCTCCCTTGTGTTATTTTCCCTACTTCTCCGAGATAGTGAACTGCAAATCGGACTCCTTTGTATCTTCATGGCAGGAAGAAGGCATGTGAATTTTTGCCAGCCAACGGAATTCTCCACCAAAATATCCGAAACTGAAATTTCTGCATTGCCAAGTGGAGAAAAAACAGTACCTGTTGAATTTCTGCCTGCTGTGCAACCCAGACCCTGGAATGCAAACCTAATCCTGCATATAGCTTAAGTAGCGGTAGTGACTTCTACTACTTAGTAGAGTCCCCTTCCCCTTCGGATGCGGCTTGATCGACCCTGCCCAATAAGCAGACATTTCCCATTACGCCCTGCACCTTTCCAGCCCCAGCCTTCCTCCGCTCTCGTCGCCACGCCCCTTTCGAACCTGCCTACCTCGCGACCACAGCAGCCGGTAGACCGTTGCCTAGCAATATTCCTCTCCGATCTACTGACCGTTTCTTCAAATGATATCTTGCTTACATTCTATTGGCGAAGGCAGCGAGATGTCCCGCCCACAGAGGGAAAAACCTATGCAGTGCCACAACTGGATTAACGTAAAAGGAGCTAATTGCAGGAATGAGCTCTAGAGATGCGAATAGAGGTGGCATAAAAAAAAAGTGTGGCCTGAGTCACAGTATAAACTTAGATTTTTTTTAAAATAATAACTTTTCACAAATTACATGTATGTGTCCTGTATATTGTTTGTAGTCCAAGTCTATACATTTACACAGACTTGCAAAGAAAGTTTAATCCATGCTAGACCAAGCCAAGTCCAAAAACGTTAGAAAATTTCTAGAAGTTTGGCACTCTGACAAATCAGCCCTCAATAGACCACATGGACATTAACATCTATAGACTATGCAAAAGAGGCCATCACCCAGCCCAAAAAGGAACAAAAAGTCCCAAGCCGTTCTCCATCAGCAATCAGCACCCAGATCAGCATAGGTTAACTCCAAGGTTAACTTCAGGCCAGCAATCAAATAAGCAATACCCCAATCTAGAAACTGTCAGAGGCAACAGTAAACAGCACAACCAAAGAATCTCTAAGATCGCCCCCACCAACATTGACATGGCAAGTCGCGCTAGAATATAAACTGGTAGCAAAAACCGCGCTCGTTACTAGCACTGATGATGTTACCTAGTTTGGGTAATGAAACGTCTGCAAGAACGCAACCAAGCTCAGAGAGCACCAAGGGCCCCTCAAAGAAGATTTAGGGCAGGGGTCTTCAAACTTGGCCCTTTTATGACTTGTGGACTTCAACTCTGGGAGTTGAAGTCCACAAATCATAAAAGGGCCAAGTTTGAAGGCCCCTTGTTTAGCGTCACTTTTAGAACCGGCTGAGCTTCTGTGCCACTCTTCGTTTGGTTGCTCTAGGGATGAAACCACCGGTGTGACGTATTGCACGTTGATTGGCTACATAAGATACAGGCCGAAATGGGGAGGATGTGACGTCACCCAGAGGCGGAAATGAAAGACCTAGTTACTGGGTTCTCTTTCATTGAGGGTGGCTTTTTCGGGCGCGATGGAGCCGTCTGGAGTTCTCAGCGCGGAGGCCCTGCGGGAGAGGCTGCTTCAGGGACTTGAGGCCGAGCACGTGGTAAATGGGAGCGCTCCCCATTCGCTGCCCGAAAGCAGGCAGTCCAAAGGGCTAGATTTAAGTTGGCACCCTTTCTCATCTAAAATTTGATTTAAAAACCCCCTCTTAAGCATTAAAAATGCTTTGCTGTTCTTTTGCAATGCTATTTTACGTTGCTTTTTCAAATATACGCCTTAATCATTTTTCAGATAGTTTTAGCCTCAGTTATCCGTAGTGGGCCGCTGCTTAAAACTCTATTGAAAAATGCCAATATTCCCCTCCTTTGTAAGAATAATTCTTCCACTGAATGGCTACAAGATACTCCTCCTCCTCGGACAGGATAAACCAGTTTTCATGACTTGATGTTTGCACGATGTGCTTTCCATTATCCCCAGCGAGCATAAGCTTTAGAATGCACCAGGTTGAGGAAAGATGGCTTTAAAATTTCCCTACTTTTTCAGAAGTAAATAGCATTTTGTTTTATTCCCTGTTACGGGGTTTGTATTATTAAGTTTACACTTTAAATCTTGCTCTTGGCTGGGGTATGAATGGGTTTGCTGTTTTTTAATAGGCTGCCATCATACCAACTAACTTAAAAATATCTTCCCAAAGTGATAGAATAACACTACACTTTCAACTCAAGAATGCAGGTAAAGGAAAAAGAAAAAATAGATAATGAGCAGCCTATAAAATTGGGCCAGACCAAAATGACTGGAGCTTATTTGCAGACCTAAGCATGTTTACACAGAAATAACTTTTATTAAATTCAGTGGGATTTGCTTCTTAGGATACCTTTAAAGTGTTCAGTAAGCTTTATTTTTTTAAAAAATAGACATATTTAGGATTATGATGTTATGGATATTTTTATCCTAAATTTTGATTTTTTTTTGAGACTTTTTCCTTTTTATTAAACTTATTTGGTGGGCACATTTCATTTTCTAATAGTATTCTGCTGATCTAATGCACTCTTTTCTGAGATCCCTTGCATTTTTATTCCCTGTAAATTGGCTTTTCATGTGCTTTTTAACATTTCCTTTCAAAGTTTTCTTTTCCATTACCTGTTTAGGTATAAATAAAATGTATTCAGGTTATTAAATTTATTGTTATGTTCTAAATAGTATATATATATGTGTACTTTTTGTTTTACACACAATAAGGAGGTAGAAGATACTACCCCTGGGCGCTGTGCTACAAGCTTCAAAGTTTTGGTAGTTTCTCCATGTTTCCGAGGAAAAGCACTATTACAACGACACCGGTAAGTAAGTATAGGAAGAACTAGCTTAGTCAGTGGATGATGGATTGAACGGTCTTTTATTTTCTTAATGGTTGGAGTTATCCTAACAGTTTTCCAAAATTTTAGAATATGAGGAAATGAGGACTACAAAATCAGGCATTCTTTACACTTATTTTCCATGCTTTTCTGCTCCCTCAGTCACATTTCTTTTTGTCTTTTGTTCCTCTATTGGTTTAATCTACCTTTGATTTTTAATCCCACCCTTCCCCTGAATTGCTCAGAACAGTGTAGATAATGTTCCTCCATTTTATTCTGCAACAGCAGTGGTCCTGTGAGGTAATAACTGATTTAGGCTGTCGAGCAAAATAAATGCACTCATATACACAGATGTATTCTTTCTTCTGGAGTTTATTTATTAAATACCTTTCTCATACTTTCATTATCCTGATTTAAATGTACAGATCCAGTTTAGAAATAGAAATGTATTGCAGCCATCTGATAAATCGCTATTAAAAGAAAAGTGTGCATTTCAAAATTGTGATTTCCCCCCCAGTATAATTCATACAATAGCTGCCTGTTAATTAAATATGCTGTGCTAATTTTAAATGCTGCCTAAATCTCATTTGATTATGGGAGATCAACATTGCATTTTAGTACCTCAAAATTGTATTCAGGCTACTTCACAACTTCTCTGTGACATTCTTTTTTATTTGGACCCTTCCAAATATTTTAATAACGAATGATTTATCTGCATCATTTTCTATTACATTATTTAAAATGTAAGGAAAAAATAGTTGAATATCCAAAGTGAGGAAAGTGAATTATGTATTTGAAACTACAAGTGGTCCCTGCTTAACCTTTGGCCTCTTTAACTACCATTTGAAGTTACAATGTAATTGAAAAATTAACTTTATGGTGGTTCTCATAGCTATGGCTGTTGCAGTGTCTCCATGATCATGTGATCAAGATTTGAGTGCTTTACAATCAGTGGGCATTGTAATCACACAGCGTTCTGTAGTCACATGATCTCCATTTTGCCACTTCACAGCTGGATTCTGACAGTCAAGATAAAATTGCAACTCACAGTCTTGTGATATGTCATTTAACAACTGCAGCAGAAGTGAGGTGATAAGATGTGATTGTGTGGTATCTTGCTTAATGACTGCATCACTTAACAACAGAATTGTCTCTCCCAATTGGGTTCGTTAAGAAAGAACTACCAGCAAGTCTTAATCATCCTAACTGGGACCGGAATTTCTGTCACTGAAAAAATTGTTTGTTAGTGTGACTGCACCACTTAGCAACAACAGTTCCAGTATACCTGGTTGTAGTTGGTAAGCCAGGACTGTCCGTCATTATGTAAGGCTTTCACTCTTTTCCTGCCCTGCCATGCTTGCCTTCACTCGCCCGCCCCCCCCCCCATCGCTGTCCCTTTTGGTTGTTCTGCTCCCTGCCACTCATGCTGCCCTGTCCTCTGCCTTGCAGAGTAGAGTCCAGGGCAGAGAAGGGGTACAGGATAAGCAGGTAGGAGGAGCTGAAGCCCATTCTGCAGTTGTAAATGCCGGCAGGCTGCCAAGTGCCCAGGTTTTGGTCAGATGACTGCAGGGGCACTGCAGCAGCCATAACTATGAGGACGGGTCATAAATACCATTTGTTCAGCACCATGCTTCAAAAGGTCACTGAATGAATGATTGTTAAGCAAGGACTACCTGTTCCTATAACCAGAATGGTATCAATTCTATTTGTTCCTAATGCCAAAAGGAAACATATATGATTTAGTTAATTTATGTCTGCCACAATCTAGAGCAGCAGTCCACAACCTTTCTGGTACCAGAGACCGGTTTCATGGAAGCCAATTTTTCCATGGATTGGGGGTGGGGGGGAGAGGGGGATGGTTTCATGTGCAGCCTAGATTCCATGCATATGCAGATGAAGTTTTGCTTGCTCACCCATCGCTTATGCGGCCCAGTTCCTAACAGACTACGGACCAGTACAAGTCCACTGCCCAGGCGTTGGGTACTCCTGATCTAGAGGATTCTCAGGAATGGTTCAGTGGGAGAAGGGTACGACTCTACCAGCCTGGACAAAGCATTATTTTAGCCAATATTGTTTCTTTTTAAAATATTACCTCTGTTGAAACAAATGGAAGTACTTATCACAATGTGTAGGGGAAGAGCAGGCAGAGCTGGGGGGTGGAGTTAAGCATGTCATCAGTTTAGAGTCCTTGCTTTCCCACAAGAGCTCTTAAGTCCAACCCCTCTTGAATTCCTTTGATTTTTATGTGGCACCAATTTAGTGTTGAACTTTAGTTGACCAGATCCGTGTGTAGAGGCTTGAATACATCTTCTATGCTGCAATCTTATGAATGGTCCTGATTTTTTTGGCCTGGCATGCAGCTTTAGTCTTGGTTAATTGAGAGTTCCTGTTTCTTCTTTCTTGCTGGAACATTTTATAAAACAGTTTTTTCTGTAAAAGGAACTCTGGCTGAACTTGCCAAGCAGTCAGCTGAGGGGTGGCACTTCCATCCCTTCTCCTTTTCAGGCTTCAGAGGCTGTTAGGATTGCTTTTAAATTGATCAATAGATTCATTCATAGAAATCTTTCTGGAAATGGGGTTCTCAGTTAGTCCTCAACTTACAACCATAATTGGGGCCAGAATTTCCATTGCTAACAAAGGTGCTTGCTAAGTGAGTTGCACTCAATTTTATGATCTTTTTTGCCACAGTTACTAAGCGACTTGCTGCAATTTTTAAGTGACTAACACGGTTGTTAAGTGAATCCAGCTTCCCCCCTTGACTTTGCTTGTTGAAAGCTATTTAGGAAGGTCATAAATGTTGGTCATATGAACCTAGGATACTGCAACCCTCACGGATACATGCCAGTTGTCAACCACCCAAATTTTGGTCATGTAATTGTGGGGATGGTGCACTTTTCAGTGCCATTGTTACTTCCTATGGTTGCTAAACGAATGGTTGTAAGTTGAGAATTACTTGCAAAATCATAATGGAGTTTATTTTGGAGGGAAGGGCAAATGAATTCAATGAATCGTGTTGACTAATCAAACTATTATGGCTTAGCCAAATATGCAAAGTTGCTTTATAACATCCATCTGTTTTATTATGAACATTAGAGATTGAATTTAAATTTGAAAAAAAATAAGCTTGGAACTTGGAGAAATGCATTATTGGCCAAGGGGCTTCTCCAGCACAGATAGAAGATAAGACTGGGATAACACAACATCTTAGGCCAAAATGAGCTTTGCCTATTTGGCTTGGTATCTTGTATGAACCAAGCTAATTGCAATTTATTCTTGAAACAATTAGTGATTTGTTTCCCAATTTTATTCCTTGTCTTGCCTTCCTTAAGACTGGTCAATGAACTCTTATCTGAAGAGATGAAGCTTATTCATGCCTTTGAGCAGAGAACACTGACTCCTGAACAGTGGGCAAAGGAACAAGAAGCTAAATGAAACAAGGTTCCCCCTTTTCTTCAGTGACAAAAGCAGCAAATAATACAAAGACCAAAAACTCCCAAGATGATAAAGAGAAAGAGCGGTGAACTGAACTTAGCAATGCTGGAATTGCTTCAGGGGAAGCACTGTGAAAGTTTGAAAAAGCATGAAGCAGAAAATAAAACCGGAGAAAGGTTATGAGTTAACTATTGTTGTCATCTGTTTATTTCCACATCAAGGAGACCCATTTTAATAGTGGGATTTGCATGGGGTGGGGAAAAAGTAGCCTTGTCCTACTAACAGAGTGCACTTTGTCTTCAATGTTAAAATCTTGAAAATGAACATGTTTTGAGTTCTTGATACTCTGGTTGGTTGTTTGCTTGCAGGCATTTTATTAGTAACTAGGTAACATCAGTGAGTGTGAGGTTTGTTCTTTATTTGCAGTAGCTTCCCTGCCAGTTTTGATACGTGTGTAGTTCCCATCCTGGCGATTCTTTGATTAAAGTACAGGTAGTTCTCACTTAAGTCATTCAAGGTCATGATGGTGTTGAAAAAAATAACTTTACAGACTATTTATAACTTTCAGTGTCCTTCAGTCATGTGATCAACATTACAATCAATAGGCGTTGTGCCTACCTTTATTTCTCCACCCGTCTTGCAGAACAAATTATTAGATAAGAGATTGCAAGAAAGTGAGCTCTTTGTTGTTCTACACATCAAAAGCAATGCAATTGTACAAATATCTTCTTTGTCTGAAATTTTTCAAGAGCTGTTTGCTTTCTTGAAATCCCTTTCCAATCTCGCTCTCTGCTGGGGGTGGGAAGATCAGGCAAAGGGGAGATTGCCTACAAAAATTGCTTGCTTTCCCAACCCACCCCTAACTCTGGCCGAGTGGAGAGATTGGAGAGGAAGAGATTTCAAGAGAGTAATGTAAGCTGTTTGTGTGATGTGTCCATTGGGCTCCCAGTGTAGTCACATTGTTTTCAGTGCATGCAAAAGAATAAGCAGGCATTTCAAAAAGGCAGGGGTGGTTAGAAGGCAAATAAAACTGGAATGTGTGAAGCTGATTTTCTAATAAGAAAGCAATGGCATTTCACTTAGTGGCGGAATTGCTTGTCATTCTAAATAAGGTTGTTATGTGAGGACTATATATTTTATCTCTGATTGTTTGGTATTGAGCCTTGCTTTTCTAAGTGTTGGCTGCTGGTGGGGATCAAATGATGCATCAAAAATGTATCACTTATGCAGATACAAAAAAGCAACATGACCAATTTTTGGTGAGAACTCTCTCTTTCTGTCTCTGCTTTCCATTTCTTAAAAAGTTCTTTGTAGGAGGAGAGCTAGGTTAGTCTGTGGTGGCAAAAACCAGGAGTCTGGTAACAGCTTTTCCAACCAATAAACTTTATTAAAAGACGAAAGCTTAATAGGCACTGATATCAGATCTCAAAACAAGGACAAAATAATACCAAGATTCGATCTGCCAGGACATCGTGAGAGATCCCAACTTTTTTTTTTTTTTTTTTAAACAGGATTTTTATCAGCACCATTTAATGAGAAATTCTTGTGCTTGCATAAGTCTAAAGCATTCAGGCAATCTCAGGTCTCAACAATAGATTTTTAACATACTGGAATTGTTAATTGATAGGGTACTTGTAGCCTCTCATGTATCATCTATATCAGCATAATCAACTTAATTTTTCTACCCTTTTTCCTCTATCTCCCTCCAATTTAAATTAATTTAACACTCTATACATCTTACGAAGTGAGCTGCAGCTCACCAAAACTTACGTCTTGTAATAAAACATGGTTACCTGGAAAAGGTCCTTCCAGGCTCCTCCCAATGTTAAAAGTCCTGTAGGGGGGGATGAGAACTCCTGCTCCTTACTCTTATTTCATTTTGGAGGGGGGAAAAAAGCCATTACTGGCAGTTTGTCAACTCTTCATATTGGCCCCCATGCTTAAATCAAGAGAAGGGCGATCTATATGAATAGGATTGTGGGTTAAGTAATAAAATTAATTCTATTACTTTTGAAGGATTGGTTGCAAATCATTGGTGAATACACAAGGGGAAAAAAGATCTCTGAAAATGGGCTAGACAGTTTCATGGAATATAAAGTGATCAAGTGGCTCGTGGTTTTAATAGCTCTGTTGGGCATATGCAGCCTTTCAATATCAGACATAGGGGGAGAATTGCTCCCTTCCTTTCCCTTTGGCATCAACAAAATGCTGGATTGGATTGTCTTAAATTCTTTCTGGAAGTCAACTTGCTACATAGGTAGTTCTTGACTTACAACCATTTATTCAGTGACTGTTCAAAGTTACGACGGCACTGAAAAAAGTGACTTATGACCATTTTTCACACTTCTGCTCTTTGTAGCATCCCCATCATCACAGCCACTTGGCAACTGGCATCTATTTAGGACGGTCGCAATGCCCCAGCATCACGGGATCCCCTTTTGCGACCTTCTGACAAGCAAAGTCAATGGGGAAGCCAGATTCACTTTACAACCGTGTTACTAACTTAACAACTGCATTGATTCACTTAACTGTGGCAAGAAATGTAAAATGAGGCAAAATTCACTTAACATCTGCCTTGCTTATGAACAGAAATTTTGGGCTCCGTTGTGGTCATAAGTAGAGGACTAGTATAAGTGGGACCAGAATTTCCGTTGCTAAGCAAGGAGGTGTTTGTTTAAGTGAGTTGCAGCCAATTTTATGACCTTTTTGCTGTTGTTAAGCGAATCATTGTAATTGTTAAATGAATCATAACGGTTGTTAAATGAACCCAACTTTCCCCGTTGATTTTGCTTGTCAGAAACTGGCTGGGAAGGTGAAAAATGGTGATCATGTAACCCTGGGATGATGCCACCATTGTAAATACATGCTGGTTGCCAAGCACCTGGATTTTGAGATGGTGGGGATGCTGTAACAGTTGTAAGGTCTGGTCCTAAGTTACTTTTTTCAGTGCTGTTGTACTTTTGAACGGTCACTAAATGAATGGTTTATTTAGCAAGGATTACCTGTAGAAGTAAGCTATTGCCATGTAGTGGCTGATGGTTTTAGGCTTGTGTGGTTACTTAATGCTGTTTGATTGTGTTTTGGACAGCAGGGGCAAAAAATTGGTCCCAAGAATAACCACTATTTAAAACTTGAATAAAAAAAGGTCTGCTACGTAACTTTTCAAAAATTTGAATGAATGAAAAGGTTTGAATGAAATACGTAGATGCAAAACTATTCCAAAGAAACAAGGATATTTTATTGAGCAGATTTCCCCTCCTCTCTCACACAAAGGTGGGAATCTGCCATCCACCAGGTTTGCTCCCTGCAATTCTCAGGTTGAGTTACTGACCAAATATCTAAAATGCATACCAATAAATCCAAATGCTTAATCGATAATCAGTTAAATATTGTAGCCCTTTTAAAACAAAAGAACCCCCCCAACCATGCCCTTAAAAGCAAAATCTAAGAAACGGGATACGCAGCATTTTTTTTAAAAAAAAAAAAAGTCCAAAGGAAGACAATTTGTTTTCTAAGGGAAAAAGCAGAGCAGGAACCAGAAAGCAGAGACCAGAACTGAAGGCCTGGGAGAAACGAGCCTGCAGAGTTGTAAATAGATGGGCTATCATCCTGAATGCCTTCACCGAGGCTAAGCAAAGAAGTATATTTCGTATCTTTTCAAGGTGGAATCTGATAACTCAGAAAAAGGGCTCTGTCTGGAATAGATAAACTTGAGTTTCTGCCCTGAGTTTAGGGTGGATGAATCTTAATAATGCCCTGAGGATCCACCCATTTAAAAAAAAATATCAAAGGGGCTTTAAAAGGCCAGTGAAATAAAGTCCATTGTGACTCATGAAGAACCGGACTGGCTAAGAAAAGAGAGAGAAGCTATTTCTTCACAATCCTCTCCAGCTCTGAGATGCGTCGCTCCTGTTCCGACACAGTAGCTTGCAGTCGTTTCAGATCCTCTGAGAGCTGATCTAAAGCTGGACCCTAAAGGACACATTACTTAGTTAACATTATTGTGTTTACTGACAGAATTGAAGAGCAGATTTTATTCAGAAAAAAAGTTTGTGCTATCGCTCCTTTAAAGTAACTTACAATTTTGACTCAAAGCATTTACTTGTCATTGCTCTAAGATTTCCCCACCAGCCCTATGCTAAATCTTCCTTTTGGCCTAATGTCCCCTTTAAAAAATTGATTGCAGGGTGCATGACTAGAACTACCATTAGTGGAGAATAGGGATCTTTGCAAAATTCTTAAAATTAAGCCAAATTCTCCCATTTATAAGACTTTAAGGGACAAAGATTAAAAAGCTGGGCTTCATCTCTTCCAGTAATGTCAAGTCATCAGGTATACTTCCCCAAAGCCTTGAAGGACCACAAAAGGCAGATACCTCTCACAGGATTAAAGACAAGCCCTCCCCACTACCCACAAAGATGCATATAGAACGTTGGGTGATCCTCCAAGAGAAATTAAGGACCATGAAGGTCAATGGATTGTTTAGGCCAGGGGTCGGCAACCTTAAACACTCAAAGAGCCACTTGGACCCGTTTCCCAGAGAAAAGAAAACACTGGGAACCGCAAAACCGTGCGTGCACACACGAGGGGAGGGGGAGCTTGATTGAAGAGTTTAATTAAAAAGAAATAGAGACTGCTGTGTATGAGTTCTCCCTCCCTCTCTCTCCAATCTTTTGTTCACCTGGCAGCTGGCTTCACGCTGTTCTCGGACAAGCTGACACCCATTCTTATTGGGCTGGCTCTCTCCTGCCCTTGGTCTGCCAATCCTCTTCCCCCACTCAGTGTGTGTGTGTGTGTGTGAGAGAGAGAGAGAGAGAGAGAGAGATGCTGCTTTCTGCTGCTTCCTGCTGAGACACAGCAAAGGCAGGAGCCCCGCCCAATAAGCTTGTCAGCTTGTCCGAGAACAGCAGAACAGCGTAAGATCACTCTCTTTTTTACACACAAACACACGCATAGAGAGAGAGAGAGAGAAGGGAAGCGCAAGTGCCTCTCTCTGTCTCTCTGCAAATGGCGGAGGAGGCTGAGAGCCGCAGGAGAAGGCTCAAAGAGCCACATGCGGCTCCAAAGCCGCGGGTTACCGACCCGTGGTTTAAGCCAATCCTAAACCAAACAGTCCAGAAGACCTAATCTAGACCTTTAGGTTTTCTTACCCCTTGCTGTGTCCCTTCGTGTGGAAGCTGACTTCTCTTGGGCCCCTGCAGGAGAGTCTGGTTGACTTTGAACTCTCGGCTCTTCTGGGGAGTGTAGCCATCCTTGAGGGAAATGAGGATGGGGCTTGCGTCCTTGCCTGCTAGCCACTGCTCTGAGGTCAAGGCAGGATCTGGACCAGCTGTGTCAGGATACAGGTCCTCTTGGAACAGGTCTGACTGCAGAAACCATACAAAAACACAGGCTCGATATTACAACGAGGAAGAGCCTCTTCCATCCAGACTTAAAAACAGAAATTTAGCCTCTCACTACACATCTCAAATCTTAATATTCTATTCAGGCAAGCTTTTGTCCAGGTAGTCCTTGACTTACGACCACAATGGAGCCCAGTGAGATTTTGCCCATTTTACAACCTTTCTTGTCACAGTTGTTAAGTGAGTCACTGCAATTGTTAAGTTAATAGCATGGTTGTTAAATGAATCTGTCCTCCCCCACTGATTTTGCTTGCCAGAAGGTCGCAAAAGGTGAACACATGATCCCGGGACACCGTAACTGTCGTAAACAGGAATCAGTTGCCAAGCTTCTGAATTTTAATCACATGACCCGAGGGGGGAGGAATGCTGCAACCATCGTTAAGTGTGAAAAATGGTCATAGGTCACTTTTTTCAGTTCTGTTGCCACTTTGAAAAGTCACTAAACAAACGTGGAAGTCGGGGACCACCTGCATAGCCTCCAGGAGCCAGATCCAACCTGACAGCTAATTAAACATTTGCCCAAAAGATTGTAGATACAGAAGGGAAAACTTCTTGTTCGGTGAGCAAACGGCTACCACTGTCTCAAGAAAGTGGGAAGATGGCTTTGCAACTTTTATTCAGGGATAAAAGTTACACGTGTTAATAAAGTTAAACCAAGACTCTAATAATTTTGGAATAGATGAGCTCTCTCAGTGAATCAGTGCATTTACCATGTTTCTGTAAGGATCACAGGTTTGAGAGAATCACAAGCTATTTAAAATGATTTACAGTACGTCACCTTTACAACAGGATCAAAAATGGGAAAAGCACACTAGATCAAACCAAAAGATCCAGTGGTACATTAGATGCTAGGAGAGGCTCCCAAGCACTATATTGTCCCAGAAACAAGAGCCCCCCTTTACCAACTATCACTAATTAACAGGCTGCCTAGAAGGTTATGGGACTTAAAAATTCAACATTTCTGGAGGATATCAGCTTGGGAAAAATTGATGTAATGGTCATCTACAAAATTCCTAAATGGAGAATACATAGGCTTCCTAAATCAAGGCTCCCTTTTACAATGATTGGATCCACACAAAGCCATATCCAGCAACCGGGAGCTTTCCCCCCCCCCACCCTCCTTTTGGGTTTTGGTGGGCTGGGGGGGTGGGGCTGGGGAGAAGAGGGGGAGGAGGAAGAATGACCCCCTTTTGGTGGAGAGCCTCTTCAAGGTGCAGCTTGCTCAGGAGGAGGAGCAGCCCTGTGTGAGGACGGCTCTTTTGCTAAATGAGGAGCCCTCTCCCCACTTTTCCTTCAAAGCCTGAAAGATAAAGCAGCCTTCCATGCCCTGAACCTCCCCGCAAGGGCCCGGGAGAGGAACCTCCCGTGTCCATTCTCTAATTCAAAATAAAGAATGCCGGTGGCAGCAGTTCTTCCTTTCAGGGAAACGGTGTCAGTGGTGTAGACCTCATTCTTACAGGACTGCCTATGCAAGTGCTTCAGCGCCCTAGCAGTGCCTCCCCAGGCAAACACATATACAATATGTTCTATGTTTGCTGGGTTTAGATTTAGCACATTGTATGAATTAGCAATTCCGTTTCATAAACTGATTTATTCTATAAATGATATTTGCTCAACCAACCCTCATTAACAAAGCCATGACTTGACATGACATGTGAACCCATTATTTTGCACTCTTCCAAGTAAATCAGAGGATTCTGACTCCCAGTTGACACCTTTGCTGCTTCTCATTAAGTTTCCTGGCTTGTGTTTGCTGGAACTGCCGAGAAAGGACTGTGTTGTAGACTGGAGTAGATGATGTCATATCCCAGTGACGGCGAAGACCGAGTGCCCAAACTGCAACCCAAAACCCACTTATGCATCGTCGGGTGGCGGGTGGGTGTGGCCCATTGGGTGGGCATGGCTGCAGTGGTAACGGCAGACTGGGTGGGAGTAAAAAGTTCAATCAATCAATTCCAACTTTGCAAGATTTTTTTTCCCGTGAGAAGTTGAAATTGATTGATTGAACCTTTTTTTTTTTTTTGCACACGATGGCGGAGGCCTAAAGCGAAAAGGTTTTATAAAACCCAGCTGAAGGCCTAGGACAGAGGCGATGGCGCGCGTGCCCACAGAGAGGGCTTTGAGTGCCGCCTCTGGCACCCGTGCCATAGGTTCGCCACCACTGTCATATCCCTTCCACTTTTCAGAGAGGGCTGTTCAGTTTTGACACAGATGGCCTCTTTGACCCCTCTTTCAAACCAGGGGTCCTCTCTTTTGAAGACAGCAACATCCACATTTTGGACAGAGGACCGCAATTCCAAGGAGGCTCCACACCCATTTGCACCACTCAGGTGACCTTGAGGACACAGATAAACCTCCAAGTGGCCTCAACGACTTTCTAAAAGAATGCAAATGACCAGCTGTCTGGAAGGAGTATTAAATCCTTCCATTCCCCACCATCCAGTCAAGCTGAAGAAACTTCTTGGATAAGAAGCGAAATGTCTTCAAAGAAGTCCAGTTGCCTCCTGAAAAAGCACCTTTGGGATATTCCTGTCTGCCTGCAATCCCTCAGAAATTATCCACAAGAAACACAACCTTGACAACTCTGATGCAGATGACGCCCACCTAAATGGATGAATGGTGCCTACGCAGTTTCCTAGAGAGATGGTCCGTTAGGCTCAAAGAGACTCTAGTCTCAGCCCTTTCCTTCCCTGCTATGAACTGTTTTCAGTTGTTCTCCCAATGCTTTTTCCTACCAATCCTAAACGGTCGTTCCACGCTTACCTTCCGGGGCACCGTCATAGCGATGGGCTCACATTTCCTCTCATGTAGTTTGTAAAATCTAGAAGGAATAAAAACTGATTCAAGGAAGGAGAAAGAAAATCCTTTGGAAGGGTCTCCTTAAAACAAAAAAGTCCCAGGCATTATTTTTTGCTTGGCCAAAGGAATCTGAGTGGTGGATTGCAACAGAATACAAGAAAGTTGTCAGGTTTCTATTCATGGATGAAGCTTGCAAAGGTTTTGTACCGTTGCTATTTGTCATCCTCACTTGATTACCAGTGTTTCGGGGGGGGGGAATAGGGTGGGAGACCAGTTACATCACTGTGAACCTCTTGGAGGAAGCAGGTGAGAAAAACACACATTCTCTACCTGGCAATCTCGCACTTGCTCACATCCAGCCCTCGTTTGGGCATCCATCCGCCTCCTCGCTGCGACTCCTTGGAAGTAAACATGGATAAATAGTGCACGTAGGGAGCTTCGCCGGTCAGCTCGAAGTATCGGATGCTGCTGTCACCCTGCAGTGGATGTTGAGGTTTTTGAATTTCTCCTTATTAAAGGACTTCTCACTTGAACCCCCAGTTAGCTCATCCAAAAGGCTGCTTCTAGATTTGGCATTGCTAGTCTCTTCCCTCCACCCAGGACTCACCTTGCCAGTCAGGTAAACCACGTTGGTATCTGGGTCATAGTAAGGCAAGAGTACACCACTGCTTGTGTCCAGCTCCTGAAGAGTTAATGGTTCCTCAGGATTTCTCTATAGAGGGAGGGAGGGAGGGAGGGAGGGAGGGAGGGAGGGAGAGAGGAGAGGAGAGGAGAGGAGAGGAGAGGAGAGGAGAGGAAAGGAGAGGAGAGGAAGGAAGGAAAGGAAGGAAGGAAAAGAAAGAAAAAAGAAAAGAAAGATAGAAAGGAAGGAAGAAAAGAAGGAAGGAAAAGAAAAGAAAGACAAGAAAGAAGGAAGGAAGGAAGGAAGGAAGGAAGGAAGGAAGGAAGGAAGGAAAGGAAAGGAAAGGAAAGGAAAGGAAAGGAAAGGAAAAGAGAGAGAGAGAAGAGGAAGGAAGGGTTTCAGAAAGACATTTGTAGTGTTAGTCTGGGATAAAACTTAAAAACTAAGAATAAATTCCTAGCCAGAGTTAAACTGAGTTAATTAAGACAAAATCCCTTCGAAATGTTTGCTTGCTTGCTTCCTACATCCCGCCTATGTTGCCTCTTCTCATCCAAACTGCATTCCTTTCCCAGTTCCTTCCCAGTTCCTCACAGACGCTTCCAGTTTAGCCTTAGTTCTACTTGCAGAAAAAGCATACGCTTCTTACAAAAGATACTCGTGGGTTTCTGTGGTCTTAAGAACAATGCAAAGAGCCGGTGTGATGTAGTGGTTTTAAAGCGTCAAGCTAGAAACTGAGAGGCCATGAGTTCTAGTCCCGCCTTGGGCATTAAGCCAGTGGGTTGACCTTGGGCCAGTCATTCACTCTCAGCCCTAGGAAAGAGGTAAGGGCAAACTACTTTGAAAAAATCTTGCCAAGGAAACCGAGGGGCTTGTCTAGGCAATCACCAGGAATCAACACTGACGTGAAGGTAGACACCCCCTCCAAAAACAAGAACAATTATCCAGATTTCTGAGCAAGAAACTCTTGCTCTCTGGGCAGAATTTCAGCATGTCCCTCCATCAATAACAGGGCGTCATAACTGATCTGCTTTACAGGGTTGTTGTTAAAGACTTTGATGGTAAATGAAATGTGTTAAGCATTTAAAATCCTATACAAACTACAGAAGGCCCCTGCAACACCAGCGTGAATTTCCTCTTACAATGTCCTTGTGTCTACTTTGTATACTTTTAAGAAATTGTTTGTTGTAAAAAAAATTACAATATACATAAGGGAGAGGATTTTGATGTTGGAACTTGCTTTCCAGCAACCTCTTTCTTCAAAGCAAGGCTTTGGCAATATCCATGCCCTCATTTTTCCACACTGCTCTTATTTCAGTGTTTCTCAACCTTGACAATTTTAAGGCATGTGGACTTCAACTCCCAGAATTCCACAGCCAGCAATGCTGGCTGTGGAATTCTGGGAGTTGAAGTCCACATGCCTTAAAATTGTCAAGGTTGAGAAACACTGCCTTATTTGAATGGTAGGGGCTGCCCACTTTTCAAATCTCTTGAACACTCAGGCAGCCTCTGCCGCTCAAATCTTTGGAAGACGTTGCCCAAACGCCACCTATAAAGGTGTCCCCCACTCTCTCTGCTCACCAGGTCCCACAGGGCCACCTGTCGCTCGCTCATGCGGCTGAACCCTGTCGTAAAAAGCTTCCCATCCTTCACAGTCGTGGCCCGAACTGGACGAGAGCCCTCGTGGGCCCGTGGCAATTCCTGAGGGTGAGACAGTGAGACAAATGAGACTTTCTTGAGGAGAAGGAAAGTTAAATCACATCTGAATAACCAAATCTCACCCACTTCTTGACAGTGAGAAGTCATCCCATTTTGTTGGGTCATCTTCCAGCCTTCTATCCCAGCACAAAATATCTCATTTGCCCAAATTAATATTGAGGGGAGAGGGTACTCTCCCCTCAATATTAATTGTCTGAGCAAAAGGAAATATTTCTCCATGATAAATCAATCTGGAAGACGTGAGGATGGCCACTAGTGGCTTTTAAAAGCAGACATTAATGTAACAAGAAATACAGGTAATCCTCAACTTACAACCAGTGGTGGGATTCAAATAGGTGAACAACCGGTTCTCTGTGTGAATGCTGCTTCTGTTCTGGGCCTGGGCAACCAAAATTTAGCTACCAGTTCTGCCGAAGTGGTGCGAACCGGCTGAATCCCACCACTGCTTGCAACCATTCTTTTAGTGACCATTCAATATTACAACGGCACTGAAAACAAGTGACTTATGACTGTTTTTCATATTTACAACTGTTGTGGCATTCCCATGGTCACGTGATCAAAATTTGGATACTTGGCCACTGGTTCACATTTATGACGGTCGCGGTGTCCTGGGGGTCACGTGATCGTCTTTTTTTGACCTTCTGATAAGCAAAGTCAATGGAGAAGCCAGGTTCACTTAACAACTGTAGTGATTCACGTTTAACAACTGTGGCAAGGAAATGGAGCAAAACTCACTTAACAACTGTCTTGCTTAGCAACAGAAATGTTGGGCTCAGTTGTGGTCATAAGTCGAGGACTGCCTGTATTTTCATTAGGGATAATTTACCAAGGCCTGTAGGAAATACAACAACCTATTGTGATACAGGTTGCTCTCAACTTAATGACAGTTTGAAATTACATTGCACTCCATCCTATGCAATCATGTGATTGCAATTTAAGACTTTGCAACCCGCTTGCATTTACAATGGTTTTAGTGTCTTGCCGTCATATGATTTCAATTTGCAGTCTTCCCAGTCAGCTTTTGGAAAGCAAAGTCAACTGGGGAATCAGGATTCGCTTAAAGACCATGTGATTTGCTTAACGACCACATGGCTGGCTTAACAATCATGATAAAAATGGTAGAAAAAAAATGGATCCAGTCATATGATGACTTGCTTAATGGCAGCACTGCTTAGCAAATGCAATTTGCAAATGTCGTTAAGTCAGGGTCTATCTCTGCAGACTGCTTCTATTAAGGCTTTCACATAAACCATTCCAAAGTCAATCTCTATCCCATCAAGTTTTCAGATTTTGCATCAGTCAATTAGCATTCTGTGATGACTCAGCCTATTCTATCCTCCCTAGCTTGTTATGGGGCTACCTCTCTCTTTTTCTCTACAGATGTTCTGAGATTTTCTCATGAATTCTTTGGTTAAATGAGGACCAAACAACTGAGATCCCACATTGGGGATAAATGCTAACAAGCAAGTCTCCAGATTCAAGCAGAAGCATGCTTTGAATTTACAGGTACAAAAATCAAGGAATAAGTGATGGCAACATTTCTGCAACCTTGTGACTATATACTTTAAAACATAAATCACTGAATTAGTTCATGGCTGGCTGGAAACTTGGCTCTCCCTACTGCTGGTCTTCAATACCTATTAGCCAACACAGACAAAAGTAAACAGCATTAGAAGAACAGCAGGCACTCCGTTTTGGGGACCAGACAGATCTGCTAACTCAGGCAATTATTGATCTAATTTGTATCCTGATCAAAAATCAGCCCCTTCTGGACCTGCCAGTTTTAGACTTTTCAAAGTATGAAAGTTTTTCCTACATTTGCAGTGGTGTCCCCTGCTCGAGGGTCGAAAAGCCGCACGTGCTTATCCCGGCAGGCTGTGCAGAGCAAAGAACCGTCCTGGTTCCAAGCTGCGCTATAGATGACATCCGGATGCAACTCATCCAAGGAAATGGCCGCTTGACCAACACTCACATCCCAGACTTTTACGACATTGTCGCAGCCTGTAGCAGATGGGAAGAAGACAAGACTCATGAATAGGAAGGTGGCAGTTGTTGCCCTGGGCCAGGGGTAGGCAACCTTGGCTCTTTTATGACTCGTGGACTTCAACTCCCAGAGTTCCTGAGCCATAAAAGAGCCAAGGCTGCCTACCCCTGGCCTGGGCCCATCTTTGGGCCTGATTTTCCTTACCTGCACTCAGCAGGAGGTTCTGGGCTGTTGGGTGCCAGGTCACAATCCCCACCCTTTTAGAGTGGCCTTCAAGAGTCACCAGGGGTTCATTCAAAGATCTTGTAAGACCCCCTTCAGGCACCGACCAGACCTAAAAACATGCAAGACAAGAAGTAAAGAAGATTGTCAGAGAACTGGAAAGAAAAGGCACCCCCTACTTTGCCAGAAAGATTTTCTCATCTCATGTCTGTCTGCCTGCCTGGGTGGTCAAGTCCTAAAAGTGACCTAGACAAGAGTGGGGCTATCTTTAATATTTTGGAGATGATCTAGTTCAGTGCCTTGAATTGTTGCAGAGAACAGATTGCATGCAAGTCACTCTGGAGCACAGGAGGCAAACTGTGAGACATATTGCTTGGAGATGGTAAAAGATCCTTAGATAACCTTGCTTGTCTGCCATCCAAATTCCCCATTCGGGTTATATTTCCCTACATTTGACACTTCTTTAAGTGCCCTTATCTATAGGACATTTGTTTTTCCCACAATTCCCTGCTCTTTGCCCGCTCGGACTCCTCTTTATCTCCCAGAATGGGATGTTCAGCTTGTCACTTCTCTTTTCTTCCCTTTTTCTGCTGACTCCTGATTTTTCTGAGGGAAAACAATTCCAGCAAGAATTGTTATCTACCAGTTGTAAGCCTCAGAGGGGGTGGGATTATTATGGGGAGCTACTACTGAAAAAAAAATAAGATGGCAGGTTGGATGAGGGCTAACAAACTCAATGTTCTCCAAATGCATTGGAGCACAACTCTAATAAGCCCAAGTCAAAAAGGTGGTGACCCAGGATGACAAGAGTTTAGTCCCAATCCCTAGTAGCCTACTGCTACTTTTAAAAAATCTGTGCACAAAAAAATGTTCTTGTAAGCAACAAGGCAAGGTTGTGACCAGTGATGTCCTCAAGAACATCAAGTGCCTCTGGTTTTGTGGTGTCCAGGCAAACTGCTCACTGGTGCCCTGAAGCCAGTCCCTTCCCTCTCCTTCTGCCTTTTATTTATTTGACCACTTACCATAACACTGCAGTCCTCAGATGAGCTGGCAATAACATGGTCATTGTGGGGGCACCACTCTATGTCTAACACAGGAGCTGTGTGCCCCGAGACCACAGGGTGGGCCTTATCCAGGCGACCAGTCTGCAAAAATAAGAGGAGAGGGAGAGAATGAAGGTTGTTCTGATGCATCAGAGATTTATTTCAAGTGGCAACTCTTACTTTCCAGTGTTTGTGCTCCGTTTTTCTGTATTCCATGAAATGGGCATTCTGCTTCGAGAACATGGCCCATGGGAAGCCATATGATGAGAACCAGCAGACCCAATTATTCCTGGGCTCATTATATCAGCATAGGTGATCAGGGAGAGCAAGCAATAAACTGACCACATTCATTTCCCCCAACCTTCCTGTGACAAACATCCAGAACTGAAAGAATGCCTTCAAAGGCCTATCGCAAGTACAAGTTGACCAGCGTCATCCTGCCCCAATCTCTTTAATCTCCATTGCCTTTATCAACAGATGAGAGATAAAAAGGGTAGCTTCACACCATGCACACCAAACTCTGGTTTATAAAATAAAACACAGAGAAGCATTAATCAGATCAATCACTCTGAAGTAGATCTGACTTCAGAATTAGAGGGTGCTAAGGTCAGCAAGGGTACGTGGTGGTCTAGTGGTTAAGACTCTGGACTTGTCGACTGGAAGGTTGGCAGTTTTGAGACCCAAGCACCACATGACAGGGTGAGCTCCCGTTACTTGCCCCTGCTCTTGCCAAGCTAGCAGTTCGAAAGCATGCAAGTGCAAGTAGATAAATAGGTACTACCGGTGGGAAGGTAACAGCATTCCATGCGCCTCGTCATATAATGCGCCTCGACATATAACAGCATTCCATGCGCCACACGACCATGGAAGCGTCTTTGGAGAATGCTGGCTCCCTCGGCTAGGAAACAAAGATGAGCGCCATCCCCCAAGAATCACCACTGGAGGAAAATCTTTACGTTAGCTTTACCTAAGGTCAGCACTGAGTTATCCCACTTGCATTTGGAGGGGGTGGGTGAATGGGAGAGAAACAAAGGGGCCCAGGGGGCAGGGGTAGGCAACCTTGGCTCTTTTATGACTCGTGGACTTCAACTCCCAGAATTTCTGAGCCAGCATGGCTCAGCTTGGAAACCTCTCCCTTTCCCCTCAGCATGACTGGCTCAGGGATTCTGGGAGTTGAAGTCCACAAGTCATAAAAGAGCCAAGGTTGCCTACCCCTGGGCTAGAGGAAGACCCTTAGCAGGTAGGGAACAAGGTAGAAGCCTAACCATGTTGCTGCCCAACAACTTCTGAACAGGAAGAGAAATTCTCATAAAAAGTTTGGTCTGGCAAACTAATTGCCAGACCAAACTTTTAGCATCTATAGCTAGTAGGCATTTGAATTTTTGCACCCTCCTCCTTTACTTCCAGTTATAACTGCCAAGATCCTTCCAACTCTTTCTTAATTTCTGTCCCGCCCACCCACTTTCCTTCTTTAATTAGCTCTTTTGCAGGCACGTCTTTATAGTTCCTTCTTTCCACAGTGCCATCTAGCCCAACCTCTTCCCAGAATCCCACATCTTTCTGCATTCAGGAAAAATAACAATAGGGTTGGCCAATTTTATTTATTTTTACCAAGGCACCGTTTCTATGCCTTTAACCGTAGCTGTATCTATAGACATTACTACTGTCTCTATTTTTATCTATTTAGTTTATACGACACTTAACATGCTGAATCATTTTCATAGCAAATCACAACTTTTCACTTGTGACAATGTTGTTAACATCACTCTCTATTAAGAGAGTTGGAAGCAGGCAGGCCTCACTGCTGGGAGGGGGAGTTGTGGGTTTGTTGTTTTTTTTTAAGTTTGCTTTTACTCTTTTTTTAAATGGTTGGCAAAGCCCTTAAGCACCTAGTGTAGACATGTCAAACTCGCAACGTCATGTGACGTCTCGCAACGTATCGAGACGGTTTTGCCATTGCCGGCAATGGGAATCCGGCCCGCGGGCTGGCAGTTTGACACCCCTGACCTAGAGCAACAAGACTTGAGGATCTTGCAACCAATTGCTATCCTTTCAGCAATTCCCACAATTTGAATTTTAAGATTTCCATTCCCCCGTTCCCTCTCTTTCTATGATCTTCCCATCCATTGCCTCCAAGAAGCAAGAGTTGATCGGGCTGGAATTCACAACCTGGAATCCAGGAAAAACATTAGGCCAGTGGGTTGAATCTACTGCTACTTATCCAAATGGGAAAAAAATGGAGATCTTATGGCCACCAGCCTGGTTTACTTGCTGTCTGTCTTCTACATTCTGCTCCTCTCCTTTCCCACACTGTTTATTGCTTGCCGTCTCTGAAACCTCTGCATGTCATGCTGAAGTCATGAGATACATCCTAGGGGCAAGCATAAGATCCTTGCCAAGGAAGACTGGAAAAGCAATCCACTGTCTTCATCTACATCTAAACTCTGATTTTGAAAGGGGGAAAATGTAACGGCTAGAGTAATTCATAACAACGGTAGTCATCATATTTGGAGGAAGTTTCACGTAGCTATTGTGGCCTCCCAAGGAGATGCTTAAAGCATACAATCAGACTGTGAGAAAGAGAAGTTACACATTACAGAAAGCAGGAGAGGAAGCCAATCCCTGCTACCAAATATAAAGCTCAGCTTGTCAGAGAGCATGGGGAGCTCTTGAGGAACCAACTTGCAAGCTTCCATTTTTGAATGGATTAGACCACAGGGGTGAGAATCAGGACTGCTGCGTTTTGGGTTCAACTACTGAAGAAATGGAGTTTAGTGTGAAACTAGAATCGTCACGAGAAAGCACAGAGGAGAACTTTAATTATTGCCAACCAATGTCGGTTCTTTTTCCTCCTGCTGCCCCCAAAGCCACTTCCTCTTCTTCATTTTTTTTTTTTTTTTGCATTTTATTTCCGTAACAGGTCCTAACCATTTAAGGTAAAAAGAAATCAGCAGTTCCACCAATCCCTGGCCCTTTCTTGCACGCTGTGCAAGTCCCCAGAAAACCACAAAAAAAGCAGAGGACGGGTAAGAAGCCAGAAGTTAGATTTGCAGTTTTCTATAGGATTCCTCGGCGAGAGACTGCATTGAGCGCAGCTGGGAAGAAGACCTGGGATAAACCAAAAAAGCTTTGAAAGAGGTCTCAAAGTGAGGGGAGGGGTTGTTACGAAGGTGGGGGAGGGCACCTTAGACAATGGCAGGACCAGGAAGGCTCCTCCACCACTAGCCTCCACGACGATGGCTAAGAATTGGGGGTTGACAGAGCAAAAGTTCCCATCCCATGTCATCTGAGAAACACGGATGTCATCATAGCATTGGTCAGCCTTCACCGGTTGTCCGTAGACATGACGGAACTTACTGGACCTCACAACTTTGCGGCTCATGGTTCCTGCAAAACAGCACATCGTTAACCCCACACAGTCATCACTGGGAGCATGCAATGACCACCACCAGCACCATTCCCTTCTTGAAACCTTGAGCCCAGGTGAGTCGATGATGGCCCTGAGCCCCATTTCACCACCTGCCCACCACGTGACAGCCTCTGCATCTCGGCCCAGCACCAACCCCACACAAAAGATCCATCTGGGATCAAGAAGATCTGATTAAAGTTGCAGCTTCTAAGGTCGTGCAGCTGCAGAAGATCATCGTGCAAACCACACCTCCTGCCCTAGTAGACCCTCCAAGGCCCAAACCTCACCCAACAGAATAGGAGAGCTCTTCAGATTACAGTAAATCTGAGGAACTGCTGCGTTCAAGTCCTATGCAGGACAACTACCCCAAAGGTCCCACAAAAGGAGTACGGTATGCAGCCCAGTTGTTAATTCACAAATTAGCTCCACCAGATCTCAGAATTATAAATAAGTAACACGGATGAAACCCTTAAATCCACACATTTCCTTCAATGGAGCTCAGGATATTGCATATGGGATAATTTATATTATTCTCACAACCATCCCAAGAAGCAAACCAACTTGAGGAATCAACATTTCCAAAAGACTAGTTAGTTGGCTTCACCATTGGGGAAAATGACAGCAGATCTCTCTGGCCAAACCCCAGGCTTTATTTCACCCCTCTCTGAGGTCTTCCACGTGCTGGACTATAAAACATCCCCCCCCCCATCATTTCCAGCAAGGACAGCTGGTCATCAGGAGGGAGAAAGCTCCTGTCTTGAGTATGATCTAAATGAAATGACGAAATAGCATCCACTTCCAAGGCTGCTGGCTGATGTGGGTGGAAAGAAAATGCCTTCCCAATTCTAAATGAGTCAAAGTGCCAATTAAATCACAGAGGAAGGACTTCTGCTGTCTGAACTCTAATGCAGAAGTGTGCCCCCCTGTGACCTAGCTCATAGGGCTCTGCGCTTTGCCCATCGGAGTTCTAAAGCCAAGACAAAAATCAACAGCGCAAGAGTCTCCTTGCAACCCATAGCTCTGTCAGCAAGAGCCCCATCCACACTCCAATCCATTTGGTTACACACACAACACACACACATGTATCCTGAGCACTCACCTGCACCTTCCGTAGCTGATGTACCACACAATGCATTAGGACTAGAGCGCTCAGGGTTTTTAAAAGCCATCGCCCAGGAACAGCCCTGGGAGGGCTATCTCTTAAAGGGCCAGCACACAGAAAGCTCACCACCTCTGCTTGTCATACTTTTTCTCACTTCCTCTCTTCCTTCCCTCCCCCCCTCCTTTCTTTAGCATCCTTCAACCTGATGATGGCACAGAATTGCTGCTTTATTTGCACAAAATCCTGTACAGGCATGAGAGATCCCAAATGAGAGGGGAAATTATTGCTTGTTAAAAGAATTGTGTGCTGGTTTCCAGACTGCAACGGCCTTTTCTTTCCTGCTTGAAGAAGAGCCTTGCAGAGCCCAGAGACTTTCTAACTAGCTACAGAAAAATCTTATGGTGTTCTATTTTACCTCAGTAACTACTGTAGTGTGAGGCACTGTTTCAAATATTTGCCTCTCTTCCTCCCTGACAAGTCGGGCCACAACACTTCCAGAAAATAGTACCAGCTACAAAACTGAGCTCCCCCCAAAGCATTAAACAGCACCTATTTTTAGCCCTCTTGTGTGTTGCTGTCTCGTTCAGGTGAATAGAATTGCCCCACAATGTCACCCAGTTTGGAGGCTTCACAAAAGGCTAATATTTATGGGCACACCGAGGTATACCCATCACTGTTTGCACCACTGCATTGTGTACCAGTTTAAAACTTCAAGGGCAGCCCCATACAGTAGTGATCAAGCCACAAGAGGACTTGGGTATGAGTGTCTGTTTATAGAGGAAACCCACCATCTTAAAAAGAGGCTATGCTAATTACGGTAATAAGGACCTGAGAGATTGTGGTATTACTATTACTATAGCAGCCCTTGACTTAACAACTATTTATTTAGCAACCATTCAAATTTACAACAACACTAAAAAAAGTGACTCATGACCAGCCTGTACTTATAACTGTCACAGCATCCCCACATTCCAGTAGTCAAAAGTCAGGAGCTTGAAAAACAGGCATGTATTTTTGATGGCTGCAGCAACCTGGGGTCCTGCAATCATAATTTGCAACTTTCCCAGCCAGCTTGCAACAAACAAAGTCAGTGGGGGGAGCTGGATTTGTTTAACAACTGTATGATTCCCTCAATAACTACAATCATTAACAACTGTGGCAAAAAAGCCATAAAATTCGGTGTGACTCACTTAACAACTACCATGCTTAGCACCGAAATTCTGGCACCAAATGTGCTCCTAAGTTGAGGACCACCTGTACTACTTTCCTGACATTAAGAAAACACAAAAGCTGGCTTCCCCAAAAAAATTCATCTGATTCTGAATTAACCTAGGTATTTATTGAATCTGCAAAATATGCTGAATCATAAACAAGCAGGTTGTATGTCACAACCTCTCCTCAAACGTAACATATATATAGCCTCTAGATCAGGGGTGTCAAACTCACCACGTCACATGATGTGTCGCAACGTATCGCGACTTTTTTCTCATTGCCGGAGCTGGGGTGGGCGTGGTTTCAGCATGACGCATCCGGCCCGCGGGCCGGCAGTTTGACACCCCTGCTCTAGATGTTTAACGGATTTAAGCACTCATGTGTTGCCCAATTGTGATTCTAGTAGGCTTCAATGCAGAACACATTTTCAATACAAGCAGCCACATCTAACCTGCATTTTCTTGTCCTTAATGTTCTAGCCATCTTCTCCATCTCAGATTGTGGAAGGAATTGAAAAAAAAGACCCTGTGGAGATTTCAAAGGAGAGGTCATGGCAGGCGGGATATCGGCTTTTACTGTATTTTTTAAATTTTTTATTTATTTTATTTATTTATTTACATGTGTGGGGTGTGTGGTCAGTGTGTGATATCATCAGAGTGAGTAGGGCTTATCTTTTCAACCTGCTTTTATATGGTTGTGGGGAAGACTTAAAGCCTAAATAGGGATGGCTTACTGCCTGCATTTTGACACTTTCTCTTCAAAAAACTGAAATTGCAATATTGAAAGGATTTGCTTGTCATATTTTGGGATGCACAAATGGGGCAGGCAGGGGAAGGCTGCAGCCCATGGGTTGATCATCCTGACCTACAAGAAGAGGCAGGACTGAGCTATTCAACCAGAAAGAGCTTTGCAGGTCATAAACAGCACCCAGAATCATTGGGAACCATTGAAGGCATTGAAGTAGAGTAACAGGAAAATCGTTTTACAGTGAAAGCGAATAAACACAGTGCTTACCTGCAAAGGAAATTTAAACTGCACAATCGCTGATGCTATTGGTGGGAGAAGTGACAACTTGGGAACCTCAGACAGAACTAAGATTTTAAGATGGAAGGCAAAGCAATTTTTCTGGGTCTGGAAATACAATTCCAGGACTGAACAATATCTGAATCATCTCCATCTTTCCTGGCATTGGATTCAGATTGCCAAGGAGAATATCTTCCTTGCTTTCTTTAAGTTCAGCCTTGAGAAACAGGAACACAGTTAGGCAATCATTCCAGATGAATCACCTTCTTCAGTGCTTGGCAGCATAAACCACAGACCAACTTTACACTGTTTGAAAACTTGCAAGTACAATCGTTGCAATCCAGTTCACATTTGCTGGGAAGTCTTACTTAGGAGAAGAAAGACAGAAAGCTGCATGTTTAGTATGGAGATCACTTTCAACCACAGACATCACATCAAGACAATTGGTACCTTCTGTGTGACATCTGGCTTGCATTTTTCTGCTAAGCAATCATGTGAGTGATGAGTAGAGAGAGAAAGAAAAAAACATTTTAAATTCAACTACAGTTGAATTTACGGTATTATTTCCCTCCCTCCCGCTTAACAGCGGCCCAATTCTTGGAGACTGCCTGGACAATTCATGTAGATTTCTAGGCCAGGTTTGCCAGAAGCGGTTTGCCATTGCTTCCTTCCTAGAGCTGAGAGAAAGTGACTGGCTCAAAATCACCCAGCTGGCTTTGTGCCCAAGGCAGGACTAGAACTCAGTCTCCTGTTTCTAGCCTGATGCCTTAGCCACTACACCAAACTGCCTCTCATGTGCTGTATGGGATTCTATCTCAAATCATGCTGTCAAAGTGAAAAATATTTGTCATTGGAATCAGTTTGAATGAAGAACACTCCTAGCACTAAATATTAAAATTCATTTAATACATTAAAGATAGAAGAATTTCATTATCACCACTTCGTATAAAATTAAGCATTTTTATGTTTATCATGTTTAACTTTATCTTTTAAAAAATTCCAGCTTATTGCATTTGACAGGCTTTCTATCCACTGTTCACAATAGTTCATATCAATGGAGCCTATAACTTTTTTTTTTTTAATCATCCTGTATTTCTGTATTTCAAGGACCTCAAGGTAGGATGCAGGCTGCATACACCCATTTCCCCCTTGATTCTTACAGTAATCCTTGAAAAAGATGTAGTGTTTCACACTACATTAAGCCAAAAGTACACAATATGTTTTAGGCCAAGTATGGTTCTTTCAATGGTGGAGCAGAACCTGCACTCCTAAATAGAAGACCAGGTCCACTATTACATTCAATTAAGTTTCACATAAATACAACTACAAGAAACTACAGCTCGGCGGTATATAAATTTAAATAATAAATAAATAGTTGGTGTCAACCCATGCAAAGACATTAAGTGACATCTACAGTAAGCTAAACCACAATCTCGCACTTTCACACAATGTGTGAACCAGCTAGTGACTAGATCTAGATTACCCAATAGATTTGTATGGCTAAGTATAGATGTTAAGCCAAATCCCTCCCTTAGATTGTAAGTTAAACTAGTCTTTACAGAGGAAATTTGGCCTGGTTGAGCCTCATGGACAATTTTCACTCAGCCTGGAAAAGGCACAGAGCTACGTAAATCTCAAGAAATTTGACCTCTCAGTCTATTGTCTAATTTTCTGAGGGCCTGAGGCAGGCAATGCAGAACTGAGACAGTATGGTTTTGATATTGGCCTTGGTGTTCACCAGAGCACTCTCACCACTTCCCATGGGAATGGTTTGGGTGGAAAACCACTTATCCCAGCTAATTATTTAATGAACATCTCGAGGGTGCCCCATCGAAGAGCTTTTTCTCTGACAAGATTTAACCCGTACCACCTCTGCTAACAGAGAGAAGATACAATAAAACCACAGCATAAAGCTAATCAACTAGGAGATACCAAGCTTGTTGTATTTTCCTGCATTGACAGGCAGCCTTAGGACCATAGTAACACATGTAAAACTGATCTATTAAGCAAGCTCCCCTTTTTCTGATTGATGTTGCTTTTAGTATCTAGGAAGGTAACCAATTTCTGTGCAATTGCTATTACTATGAGGAAATCAATAGTTTAACCTTCTCACCTGCTAGTGATTGTCCTATGTTTTATTTCTCCTCTCGCCCCCCCCCCCCCCCATATCACGTTGGGAAAGGTGGAAGAGAATAGAATCAAATACAGTGGTAATTGGTCCAGTGTTGGAAGGACCAAGTTTGGGAAAGATCAACCTGGAAAAAAATATTACTAAAATCCCAAAATGACTAGATGGCACATAATCAATGATCAATAGTTAAGATCAATTAGTTTTTGATTTTTTAACTTTAAATACCTCTTCTTATACATTATATATTAGGTGCACATCTGTATCTTATTTTATTGTTGCTTTGTTTTACTTCACTTTTACTTTCTTGTATTACCTTATTTTTGGAGTTGGATTTTTTTCCTAATGTCTGACCTTTGTCTGACTTTGGACCACTAAGCAACAGACCAGTTCTGTTTTTCTTTAGCCCAGGTAAGACGCTTCTGATGTTGTTTGTTGTTCAGGAGCGGCTTGACAAGAGGAATACGACATTTGCATCATTACATGCAAGGCAAGATAGTTCAAGCCATGATGTGTCATAAGTAAGATGATTATGGCTTACAGCTCATGAAAACCCCAAATCAGAAGCATCTTACCTGGGCTAAAGAAAAACAGAACTGGTCTGTTGCTTAGTGGTCCAAAGTCCTCTTTTCTAATTGAAAGCAACTTTTGCATCTCATTTGGGAACCAAGGACCCAGAGTCTGGAGGAAGAATGGAGAGGCACACACTGCCAAAAGCACCAAAACCTGGTTCAATGACCGTGGGATTACTGTGCTCGATTGGCCAGCNATTTTCTGAGATTGTGGATTTGGGGTTTTCATGAGCTGTAAGCCATAATCATCACAGTTATGACACATCACGGCTTGAACTATCTTGCTTTGCATGTAATGAGTCTATCTCATATATTAGGTTCACCTTTTAAGTTGCATTACTGAAATAAATGAACTTTTGCACGATATTCTAATTTTTCGAGTTTCACCTGTAGGTGCCCCCTGCTCAAATCCTCACGTACAATATATGTTGCTTGTCTTACTGCGTTATTTTCCATTACAATCTTCTCTTAAAGATGATTCATAATTTTCCATTTGGGTAGAATATGGTGGTTAGTTTTTTGAGCATATCTTGATTTGTATATGTTGCGATGTTCATCAAGGTATTGAATTAGCTGTTGTCTGGATTTGACCTCAACCCCAAATACTAGTGCTTCCTTTTAAACAACTTGAGTCTAAGAACCTGAAGGAGAGTAAATCCTTAAAACCTAAAGTTTTAGATCATGCACTCCAATCACTATTTAGAATCAGATTAGCAATGGTTCTGTTACATTAATTAAGGACTGAAAAAAAAGTACGTAACTACAACCAGTTGTGAGGGTGCAAATGCTTATAGAATACATTGGATTGTAATGCATATATTTTAGACTGACAAAAACCATACTGTAATTTTAAATTGCAGAGATATAAACAGTGTATTTGCTATTTTCAGGAGAGCTACATTTGGAAAATATTTTTTTCCAAAGTAATCCATTAAGGCCTATCAGCAATCAAGTTCAGATTATTACTTGGACAACCATTTGTCTGAAATGGTATAGGGTTTTCTGTCTGAGCAGGGGATTGGACTGGAAGACCTCCAAGGTCGCTTCCAAATATGTTATTCTGTTATTTAATCTATTATGTTATTACTGACCCAGCTGCCAGTCTGTTTTTTCTCTCCTGTGGGTGGAGTGAAATCTTACCTTTCACTGGCCTTCAGCAAAAAGATTAAACGTGTGGTTTTTGCTATTACAGGGATTATTCTGAATGCTTTTTCAGTTGGTGGAATATCAAATGTGCTTGTTGATTTCCGGCCAGATGTATTTTAGAAAATGGACTGGGTATATTTTTATTGTAAAGCACTTCAAAGGGCTGGCTTTGAAGGTAAGGTGGAAGGGTAATAAATATAGCAAATAAAGGATTCTTGCCACTGCACAATTGAAACTCAAGTATTTCTTTATTTACATTTAGAACAGGATAGAAATTAGATCGGTTGTTCAATACACTAAGCCACAAACTAGACCACTACTCTAACTTGGGGTGGAAAATCTGCTTCCATCTTTTCATTGCAGATTGCTGACATCTACAACGCCATTCCTATCTTTCGAGGGGAAAACCCCTGAAGACCGCAGTGCTGCAATCGGTAAAATTACCCTATATCCGCCCCCCAAAGAAAACATCCTATAGCACCCAGCGTTGCCTCTTCGCTTTCTTTCGCTTTTCCTTGATGGAACCTAAAAAAATCTTACAAACCCAGGCAACATATTTAGCAGGACTTTGCAGCGATCCGGATTCAAGACGCAGAAAGGCGAACCTGCTGCAACTCCTTCCATCAAACGTTTGGTGGAAGGAGCAGTCAACAGGTGCGACACGCGTCACTCCCTAATTGTCGTTTTGTTTTCCAACTTGGATCGCTGCATAGTTCTAGCACTTAGCGCCCGGTTCAGTGGGTCTTGCGAAATCAGAAACCTGACTTAGGTGGACCGTGGCTAAGTTAACCAGGGCACTCGTGCCGTGCACCCACTTTGCAGGGAACTCGTGCCGTGCACCCACTTTCCATTCCCATTTCGGGATTCGAACCCAGGATTTGGACGGAGGGAAAGCATCTCTTAAAAGCTCTTAAAATGCAGATGCGCAGCGTCAAGAAGAGGATTGGAGGCGCGCTGAGCCAAAAGGCGGGGCCCAATGGGAGTCAAGCGCGCGCGAGCCCGAGGGTGGGACCTCATCGTGGTGTGGAATGTTTTGGGCGCGGCGCTTCCGGGTTGGGCTCCTGACATTTCTATCCAATCCAGACGCGCCGCGGCCCGCACAGCTCCAGTAGGCAACACGGACGCATGCGCTGTTTGAAGCAGCTCCAGCCGCAGCTCCCGAGGAGCGCATGGGCATTGCTTTTCTTGCTGTTTCTTCAACGAACGCATGCGCGGTGCTGTCGGGCGGTGTCGGTTCCGGGTAAAGCGGGGATAGGAGCGGCTGCGGGAGCTTCTTGATTAGATCAGCCATGGCTGCAGCGGCGGCGACAGCGGCCCCGGGCGGGGCGGGAGCCGTGCCGGTGCCTGGAGTGCCAAGGCTGGGAGTGGAGACAGTAAAAGGACAGGCATTTGACGTGGGACCACGTTATACGGACCTGCAGTACATCGGCGAGGGGGCGTACGGCATGGTCTGGTAAGCGAGCGCGAGCCCTGCAGATTGGCCCTGAACGGGAGCCGTACCTGGGCGAAACGTCCGAGATTGGTCTGGTGTGCCTCTTCCTACAAACTGGCTTCGCGCGGCCACCGTACCCTCTTTTAAAAGCTTCCGCCATGTTTCTTAGTTACCGAAAAGTCCTGCAAGGGTGCATGTTATTTTGCTTGATCTGGAACTTGCTTTCTTCCCCCCCCCCGCGCGCCCCAACTCCCTTAAGGGTCCCTGCCCGCCGGGCCTTTTCCTTCCGCACCCGGCCTCTTGCTCCATTCCGTTGCAGGGCGCGTTGCAGAGGCTTGCTGTCAAATCTGGCTTCTAAAACCCAAACAGTCGACGCAGCCAACCCTGCCAAGTCATTGTTGTATTCCGAGCGCCTGCCCGAAACCAGCCTTCGCAGGCTGTTATCTTCCTGTGCCAATATTTGCAGATTTCCTGTGAAAGGCTTAGGGGTGCCTTGCAGCCGGGAGTTGGTTTATTACCAGTAATTGGTATACTTTTTGTACTTGTCAGTGTCGAGATGCAAAAAAACCCAAAAAAACCGCGAAGGTTAACACTTTACTTTTCTCTCTGGGTGCAGCAGGTTCAATAAAACAGCCTGATGAACTTTATTTAGTTCCATAAATCACAGAGCCGCACTCCACCCCCACAATTTCTTTAAAGTGTTGGCAAGCCTGTTATCTCTCCAATAAATCTTTATGCATTATAGTTATTAAGCTGCACAGCAGCCCCCATCCAGATGTCAACCTCAACAGCGTCTGGCCTGTTTAGATCACTATCCCTTCAGGGCAGATCTATTTTCACCAATTATGCTAAGTGTCATATAGATACTAATTGATCTAATTATAATACCTGCTGGCTTCTATGCTCTGTTCAGCATTTGGTTTACATTAAAGCTAGGCTATAGTAGGCAGCGCTATCTTGAGCGCTGCACTGTTGCTGCGATGATTCTCAACATGTTTGCTGAAATATTCCAAACAGCCATTCGTTTAACATCAGTAACTTGAGTCTTGTATCAGACTTTCCATATTCTGTAATAGTCCATTTTTTATTGCTCATAATCTGACCTGTGTAGGTTTGGAACTAATGTACTTTGTATTAATCAGTGCAACACACATACATCCCCAAGTGTTTCTGTGGTAGAATGTGTATTTGATGGTGATAATTGTATTTGCATGATATACTTATCAAATAACCCAGTTTTCTAGATTTGCAAAACCTATCTGCTGTTGAGATCTCAGAGGTTTCACTTCTGTTCCGTAGCCTTGGCAACAGCCAGCTCTTTCTCAGATCATAATAGTTGTTGTCCCACATTGGTATAATGTGTTATTAGTGTTTTCTCATTCCTTCCTTTGCTCTTTTGTTGAAGTCCAAAATTAAAAAACATACAAGCATTCTGGTGGATTATCTTGTGTATAGAATGTCTCTTGTTGTTGTGAATTTCTAGAGGGATCCTCCTCTATTGGAGAGTGAAATGATTTATCAGTTTTGATAGTAAAAGATTGTAGAGTCACTTGTCTGAGATGGGCAACTGTAGCAATTAAGTAAAAATAAGTAAAAATATATTGAGGACTTCGGTATGCATTTGCCTTTGTTTCTAAACAGCTCGGCATATGATCACATCAACAAGATCCGAGCTGCGATCAAAAAGATCAGTCCTTTTGAGCACCAGACATACTGCCAACGCACACTGCGAGAGATCAAGATACTTCTGCGCTTCAAGCATGAAAATGTCATTGGCATTAATGACATTCTTCGTGCACCCACCATTGATCAGATGCGTGATGTGTATCCTTGCAAACCATCTTGTGTCTTTTCATGTGTGGAAGGAGATCTGTTTGGAGAAAGGTGTATGCACAGAAAATGTTCTATAATAATCTATTCAATCTTATTCTGGCCCATTTTTAATGAAATGCACTGCTTAGAAGCTTTAGCTCCTTCAGAATACAATGATGTAAAATAAGGTATGATTATGCCAGCATCTGGGCTGGCTTCCATTTGCCTCCTGGCATGGCTCCAGGTATTGCTTTCTTAATAATTGGACTTATGAAACGATTGTCTCTTCTTCTCTTATGTCCTCTAAAATTAAGAATGCTGTTTTAGTCACATCCCTTTATTTTTATACAGCAGCTGGTAAAGTGATGATCTACTTTATACAGGAGATGAATTGAACATGGTGTGAATCTGGCTTCAGTTATTTTTTCTGGTTTTAATTGAGCTATTAAAAGCAAACTCAATTTGTGGCCACTGTTATCATTTATTTGACCACTTGTAGAGATGCTGCCTTCTTTGCAGGAAGTTACTTTCCTTGACAGCTTCCCTTCCTTCCCCTTTCCTGGTGGAGAGGGGTATTATTTGTCTTTTTTCAGATATATAGTTCAGGATTTGATGGAGACGGATCTCTATAAGCTTCTGAAGACCCAGCAGCTCAGCAACGACCATATCTGCTACTTTCTCTATCAGATTCTTCGAGGGCTGAAATACATTCACTCTGCCAATGTGCTTCATAGGGATTTGAAGCCCAGCAATCTTCTCATCAACACCACATGTGACCTGAAGGTGGCATTCTAAATCTTTTGCTAGGCCTTCTGCACTTGCCAACAATATCTTCCCTGCTTCATTCTGCAGTGCAATTAATTCTCCATTTATTTGGGGGTTGCCACTCTATGGTTCTCTCTCTTCTTACAGATCTGTGATTTTGGCTTAGCCCGAATTGCTGATCCAGACCACGATCACACAGGATTCTTAACAGAGTATGTTGCCACTCGCTGGTATCGAGCTCCTGAAATCATGCTTAATTCCAAGGTAAGTTAAGCAAAATGAATAGAACATGTTACCAGAACACCTAAAAAGCGCATTTGTTATACCTCCAATTTAGTTGAGCGTGAAGTTTCCCAGCTTCTCAAAAAAAAGAAAAGGTAACACCTTGCGTAGCCATAAAGGCAACATGATTAACTTGTAGCACAATTCCAAAACCAGATCATCCTGGTAAATGGATATTTATAAAGTTTCAATGTTCAGTGGAACCACAATATCACATGTCTTATATTTTCTTTCACTTGTACAAATTACCATAGCAATTCTAGCATACCTATCCCACACAGAGGCCTAACTGAAGGATGCTACTATGAGGAAGACTGATGCATAGGCTAGGCTGCAGAAGCTTTCCTGAAAATGTTTCCTTTGCTGGGTCCACAGTTTAAGATGCCTCTCTTACATTAAACTGAAAAGTTTATTTACTAGGAAGGAAACACATCCATGTCAATAAAAGGATGACTCTGCATGGCCTAGTAGCAGCTGAGAGCAGAGTGGGATCAGTCAGAAATCCTCAGCTTCTATTTCTGTGTCTTCTTCCCCTTCCCAGGGCTACACTAAGTCCATTGATATATGGTCAGTGGGTTGCATCTTGGCTGAGATGCTGTCAAATCGACCTATCTTTCCTGGCAAGCACTATCTGGACCAGCTGAACCACATCCTGGGTAAGAGGGAAGGCGACTGAGCAAAGCCTTTGAAGGGGTAGTCTAGTAAAAGACTTGTTCTGAGCAGCCTCTTGAATCAGCTGTGTAACAGATTCTACCTTTCTCCTGTTGCATAAGGCCTCCCCATTATAACTTTAATGCCCATTTCTCCTCTAGGGCTTGCAATATCCTAGATATGCAATGGCTCTCTCTCTCCACCCATCTCTGCAGGTATTTTGGGTTCCCCATCTCAGGATGACCTGAATTGCATCATCAACACGAAGGCTCGCAATTATCTCCAGTCATTGCCTCAAAAGCCCAAAGTTCCTTGGGCCAAACTGTTCCCAAAGGCGGATCCCAAAGGTAAGGGAGAAAGAAGGCTGAAAATGCACAGCTTCGTCCTTTGTTTGGCATGTTTGGCTCTTTGTTGATAAATCAATCATCAGCCACTGGCTGACAGGCCACAATTCTTCAGCCCTTTGTAGCTTGGTAGGCACTGTTAATGTTCCATCGAAACCAATGTTCTGACATCAGTTGTTGTTTTTTAATTGCACACTTTATATATGGAGGAGCCCATCTGTATGATCTGTTAACAAACTTCCCACTGTTACTTTATTTAAAAGTTAAACTTCTATATCCTCAACTGTAAAACTTTCACCTAGCCATCCATCCACTAGTAGGGCCCAGTTTGGGCGAAGACTATTTGTACACTTCGTCATTTAGAAACTGGCTGTCCTTTTTAATGTAGTTAGAGATCTTTATGCAAAAACTGAATGGTGTGGAAATTTAGTTGCCTAAAACAGCACACATGGTACAGTATAGGCAGAATGGCCCCATGTCTTCTTTCATTTAGGCCAGAGGTGGGGAACTATGGCCTAAATGGCTGGCTCAGGAAGTCTGGGAGTTGAAGTCCACAAGTCATAAAAGGGCCATTGTTCCCCGCCCCAGATTTAGGCTGTTAGGTTCCAATAAGGATTAGCAAGAAAACTGAACTCTATCATTTAAAGCAGCCTGTGCTGAAATGTGCATTCTTTATAACTCAGGGCAGGAAGACTGACTTCCTTTCTCTTTTAAGTTGTACCTCACCATTCGCAAACACGCATTCTAGATCAGCCTTCCTCAATACATAATGTTTAAATGTGTATACTACAGTCAGCATCATTCCCAGCTTTCAGTGGAAGATACATGCTGAAGGGGCAAGAGAAAAATATGCAAAGTACCTTAAACTAATTCTAAAAGCTTTTAGAAGTTCTCTTGTGTGACATTGATGTGTAGTTTTTCAAATACAGCTGGTTCCCAGAGCAGCTTAATTTGTAACAGAAGCAGGCAATTTTTTTGTGGTTGAAGGATGCAGGGTATGTGGTGGTGGTGAAGTAATGTTACTGGAAGAGGGCCAAAAGTTTGGTTCCTTTTTTTGGACAAAATGTTGCGTTAAACCTCAGAGATCAAATGATTTTGCTTTGGCGATAGAAGGGGATTCTAAGTAGACTAGGAGTGCCCTGGCGTTCAACCTTACTTACATTATACTATTATATGATACATTGTAACATTATTACATATTAGACAGTATGTTGTATTTATTTATTAAACTTATATGTTGCTTATCTTGCTTAGAAGTGACTCAAGGTGGCTTAGAATCATAAAAAACAAGATTAAACATTAAAATGTTAAAACTCTAAATATTAACATTACAATTGATTTAAAATTCACCAGATGGCAAGGAAGGGAGCAAGATGCACAAGGGGAGGAGGTGGGGGTCTTAGTTCATTAACCATCTCCAGAATGACACACACACACACACACACACACACACACACACACACACAGCTTCAATACAAGGTCTCCTGTTTATGTTATCCTTTCAGAGGAAAAAAATACAAGAAATTATAGGTGGTAAATAACACTGGTGTGTATAGAAACTTACTTTCATGTGATTCATCCTGTTTCTGTTGCCCAATTCCGTATGTCTTCCCTGAAATCATTTCTTTCCAGCAAACATCAGTTTTCAAAGCCTCCTTATCTTTTATTGTCTGTTCTGGCCATCATTTGTTAATCCAGCTTTTATGTAAATGTCTTTCCCAGGCAGACATGAGGCAGCATCATTAGTACAAAGTGGGAAACATTGGTATAAAGATCCTGCTAGACTTATTTATTTCCTGAATAAGAGTTAAGATAAATAGACTTAGGGATCTGAATAAACTGTGAATAACCAGGAAAGTTAACTTTAACTTCTATTAGAGATGTAATCATTGTACATATGAATTCAGGATGCTATAGTAATGAAAAACTTCAAATTATACAAAAGGATTAAAGAGAAAAGTATCAGTATTTGCCACATGTAAGAATATTTCTAGCTAGGCTTGCACTACCTTTTAGTTCTGGATTGTCTCATTTCAAAAATTGAATTAACAGCTGGAGAAGACAACAAAATTGGTTAAGGGTGGGGGACTAGGAAAAGATTGGAGTTCTTGAGGAAGAAAAGTGAGTCGAGGAAGATGATCTTTGAATTAAGGTGAATTGATTTTTTTTGACACAGTGCTCTGATTTGCAGATAGTAGATTAAATTGGCAACAAAGATTTTGAACAAAGAAGTGGAAGATCTGTTTCATATAAAATTATAATTTATATGAGATTTCTGGCCACCTAAGAAGAGATGAGGAGTATTGGTCAGTAACTTCAATCATTTTGAAAGCAAATAAAACATAATTTATAGTAACTGTGATAACTATGTTTCTCCTCATAGGGGTGGCCACTGTTTAAACCAGTGTTTCTCAACCTTGACAATTTTAAGGCATGTGGACTTCAACTCCCAGAATTCCACAGCCAGCATTGCTGGCTGTGGAATTCTGGGAGTTGAAGTCCACATGCCTTAAAATTGTCAAGGTTGAGAAACACTGGTTTAAATCAATGTTTTCCAGTCTTGGCATCTTTAAGATGCCTGGATCAACTCCCAGCATGTTGGCTAGGGAATTCTGGGAGTTGAAGTCCACACGTTTTAAGTTGCCAAGTTTGAAAAACACAGGCTGTCATCCACTTCGGAGGCACTCTGCTTTTGTTTTGTGGGAGAGTTGTGGGCTTTACAGAGGCTGCTGGCCCAGATTCCTGGTCTGAATCAGCAGGGCTTTTCTTATGGGGGGCAGGAGCCCTCCCACTCAGTCTCCAGACCATCTGCTTGCTGAGACAAATGATCTCAGAAACCAAATGTTTCCTGCAATGCTCTCTGCTACCACTGGGGGGTGCATTGCAACCGTCCCTTTCCTAAACAAAATGGAATCTTCTCGTTGGCATGTGTTGTCCAGCAACTGATCCTGCATCCTTTCACTTTTTTATCTCTTTCAGCTCTGGACCTGCTGGATAAAATGTTGACCTTTAACCCCAATAAGCGTATCACAGTGGAGGAGTCTTTGGCGCACCCTTACCTCGAGCAGTACTACGACCCCTCAGATGAGGTGCGGGTTGTTTTCTTGGAAGAGGGTCGTTCTTTTAAAACGGGGGTCTTCAAACTTGGCCCTTTTATGACTTGTGGACTTCAATTCCCAGAATTCCTCAGCCAGTGTGCCTGCCTGAGGAATTCTGGGAGTTGAAGTCCACAAGTCATAAAAGGGCCAAGTTTGAAGACCTCTGTTTTAAAAGGATGACTGGAGAAGGGGGCAGAAAGTCATGGCCTTAATGTGACTGGGAAGCAGAATTTCTACATTGTTTTTTCTCTCTCTCTTTACCCCACACTAGCCAGTTGCTGAGGAACCGTTCAGGTTCGATATGGAACTGGATGACTTGCCCAAAGAGAAGCTGAAAGAACTGATATTTGAAGAAACTGCACGATTCCAGCCTGCCTATCAAGGGCCCTGAGAGCCTGTTCAGGCCAGTGGCAGGTATAGCTGTTCATCTTCAAGGGTGGCTAATTTAGCCCCCTCCCTCAGAAAATGCTTCAACCTGGGAGGTAACCTATGAGTCCCATCCCCTGACCATGACATTATTTGTAAATCTGAGGAGGGTTTTTTTCAAGCAAGGCACCGTTCCCAGAGCCCTCTGCCTCGGAAGAATCAATTTGCCGATTTCACTCTTGAAACAAGTGGGATAAACAGCAGCCCTGTGCAAAAAGATCACAGATGCCCTGGTATCCCCATGGGCTTATTTATTTATTAAATTTATATGCTGTCCATCTTGCCCTCTGGTGACTCTTTGGGGGCTTACAACAAATAAAAATAGTATAAAACATAAAAAATATTAAAATGATAGATATTAATATTAAAATTAAGAAAGGTAGCTAAGGAAGGAGGCAAAATACAAACAGGGTGGAGCTGGAATCTTCTCTCTGTCCACTATCCGCCTTGAGTCTGGAATGTCCCTATCGGCCTCACACCAATCCGCAGGGCCAGATTTTAAAGCCCTTCTGGAAGGCTAAGTTGGGGACTGGTCTTACCTCAAAGAGTTTGATGTTCCAGAGGGTGTTAAGCCACAGCTCTTCTCCTGGGCCAATAATCCTTTATGGCAAGAGAAAAGAGCTGTTTATGATACATCTGTGTTTTATAACATATTGATATTCAGTGATGAAATGTGGCTATAGCTTAATGTACAAGAAACCATAGATAACTGAGCTCTGGTCAAGGCCTCCCAGGCACCAGCAGGTGAATCTTCATGCGATCCCTTCTTCTTTCAGGTCGCTGCTTCACCGGGAGATGATTCGGGACTGTACCCAGCTCCCCCTTTGGAATGTTGAGGGGAGCACAAGATTCAGGGGTACCAACTCCAGGGTGCCCCTGTAGACTTGCTGTACAACTGCGCTTTGCTACGTGGCTGTGAACCCTGGTAACCCATCTCTGGACCTCCTTAATGTGATGTGTTGGGGTGAGACCCTGGTGCCCAGGTTGGGGAAGGGGGGGCTGCTCCCTCCGTATTGGAGGGAAAAGAAAGCAGTCTCCCATCCCTTTATCCCTTTTCAAAGCAACGAAAGGGGCGTCATCTCCTTTTTTGGCATTTTACTGTCTTTGTTAATGAGTTAATAAACTAATCCTATTTTAGCAGGGCCATTTTCTGATCCCTTGGGCATTATTAGCAAGGGCAACTGAAATCAAATCTTGGTTCCTGGACAAACCCTTTGTATCTTTCTTCTGTAATCCTCTGAATCCCACTACATTTTGAAAACTGGGAGCAGAACCTTAAACTCTGTGACTACCCAGCTTTTCTGCCACACACCTTAAGAATCCAGGAGCCTTGATTACTTCTTGCAGAAATAGAGGGCATGTCTGTGCTGGTGTTTTATCAACTGATTTATGCCACTTTTGAAACACCTGAAATGCACATCCGACCTTGGTGGGTCATTTTAAGGAACTTTTGAAATGCAATGCAAGGAAAGATCCTGTGATGAGGGGAAAAAAAGTGTCTGGTTTGAGAGCGACAAAATATCTTTCCCTCCGCTTCTAATTGTTGTGTAAGAAACCGTGCAGATGAAAAGGAAGTCCTTACATTTCTTCTGCTTCCTCAACCTAGAGACTTAAGATTTTTCGTTGTTTGCCTTCTTTCTCCGCCCTTGCATTTAATAAATTTGGGTGAGTGTGCGTGTGTTTGTGTGTGTGTGTGTGTGTGTATGTGTAAACCGCTGCGTACCTTGAGAAATCAGCCGGCCTCTGCAATGGCACAGCACTTTGTCTTCTTGCTGCTACGAACTAACATGGCTGCCCCCTCCATTCCTTTCTCAATATTTTTAAATGCCGATTTTTGACTCCCTCTTCATCATGCAAAGCAAAGACCCTCAAGGAGTGGAACTTAACAGTTTGGGGCAAGTGTGAATGGAAAAGTCACTGATCACAGTTCTGTTTTCTAAAGGGATAGTCCTGCTGCCCCAAAACCACCAGACTGTGCCAGGTAGAAAGGTTTTTTTTGTTTTTTTTTGGATAATTTCAGGGGGTTGTGTGGGTGTTCACCGTCATGAGTGGAAATGAACCACTACCCCCTTGAAAGTTAGCTTTTGCAGGAAAACTGCTGCTCAGATGGCCCCACCTCTCCCCTCCCTTCTATGTGTGCCATTTTTCAGTAACAATTTGGATGGTTGTTTTTCCTGAAAATTCCAGTTCTCAAAGATGAGAAATGCTCTAAGCCCGTGGTGGCGAACCTATGGCACGGGTGCCAGAGGCGGCACTCAGAGCCCGCTCTGTGGGCACGCGTGCCGTCGCCCCAGTCCTAGGCCTTCAGCTGGGTTTTATAAAACCCTTTTCGCTTTAGGCCTCCGCCGCCGTGTGCAAAAAAAAAAGGTTCAATCAATCAGTCAATTTCAACTTCTCGCAGGGAAAAAAAAGATCTTGCAAAGTTGGAATTGATTGATTTTTAGTCCCACCCAGTCTGCCGTTACCACCGCAGCCACGCCCACCCAATGGGCCACACTCACCCGGCACCCGACGATGCATAAGTGGGTTTTGGGTTGCAGTTTGGGCACTCGGTCTCTAAAAGGTTCGCCATCGCTGCTCTAAGCAGAACAATGGGATTTGGGATGTGGTTTTTTTTTTTGTTTGTTTGTTTTGTTTCCCTTAACTTTCCACTTGAATGAAGGAGAAGCTTCTGTGTTCAGACAGCATTGCCTGCTTGTCCTAGCTGTGATGATATGCAGTGAGCTTTCTTCCTAGGGTGTGTTACCATTTGAAGGAACTTGCATTAAAGGGAATTAATGCTTCTCCATCCTTCTCTGCTTTGGATTGTATAAAGACCTAAAATAAATCATTCCTTTATTCCTTCAGCAGCTGTTATGTCTTAATTTGGGGGTTGGGGGGGGAATGGATTGTTAAATTAGAGCCCTTTTTAAAAAGCAGTTACAATGTCAGAAACCTGAGTAGGCATCATATTTCAGAGATCAGGGTGAATACAGGTAGTCCTCAACTTATGAGCACAACTCAGCCCAAAATTTCCATTGCTAAGCAAGATGGTTTGTTAAATGAGTTTTTCCCCATTTTACAACCTTTCCTGTCACAGTTGTCATGTGAACCACTGCAGTTATTAAGTTAGTAAAACGGTTGTAAATGAATCTGGCTTCCCCATTGACTTTGCTTGTCAGAAGATCCCAAAAGATGATTACATGACTCTGGGACACTGCCACCATTGTAAATATATGCCAGTTGCCAAGCGTCCAAATTTTGATCACATGATCGTGGGGATGCTGCTACAGTCGGAAGAGTGAAAAATGATCATAAGTCACTTTTTTTCAGTGCTGTGTAACTTTGACCGGTTACTGAACAAAAAGCTGTAAGTCGATTACCTATACAAAGAAGGTGCTACAGATAATCTCATGGCAATTGTGAGCACACCTCAGAAGAATGTCGTCAACCTAGCTGTGTATTTTTAAAATCAACTTTGAATTTTTCTCAGAGACAAAATGGCCATGTTAATAACAAAGTGCTTTTATCGGGGATGTAATATGATCTCATACATCATACCTAACCATGATGTTGCCAGAGTAACAGAACAAGCATCACACTGGAAATGCCATCCTTTGCATCACAAAGTTGTCCCCCTTCTATGAATAACCTAGTTATTTCAGAGCCAACCTGAATGAGGTTTCCAGATAAAATACACTGTAAGCGCATTAAACAGATACCTAGAGTCCGGCTATAAGAAAGAATTAAGAACTGGTTTGTCAGCTCAATGTGGTTCATATGCTAATTAGGGATATCTGCACATCTAATGGCTATAGTAATTACTTAGGAAATGTACAGTGCCTTTGGTGATTAACTGGGATTGTTATTAATTACTGTTAAGAGGAAGGAATCTGCTTGTGATGTAAGGGTTTCAAGACAGGATATACTGGCAAAAATGGATAGTCAACAATAAAGATCTTGTCTCCACTGTTTCTCAACTTGGATTCTGCAAAAGGTTGATAAACTTGTATTCCACATGTGACTGAGAACTAGAAAACTTGTACAAATTAAATACTTCCTGCAATACAAAAGCCATAAATTGGTGTTAATTGGTTGTGAAATTAAAACCAGATCCATCCAGAGGACCACTAGATAGGAGCAAAAAGGTATGGGAAACTCAGATTTATTTTTAGTTGCCCTTCTCTACCATCACTCCTGGAGTAGTTTTGATTCCAAATATTATCTTTACTCCAAATATTATCTTACTCCAGGTATTATACTCACTACCTTGTATTCTGGTGAAGTTATCTTTACTATTTGGCTATCACAGCATACTTGATTAAATTAAAGGTGATTGAATTCCAAGCCACAAAGAAATATAATACATTACCAAAACATTGCATGCTACCATATCCTTTGTTTGCTGCTCAGCTATCTCTCTATAGTTCCTCCAGCCCTATCTAAAGATAGAAGCAGCAAAATATGAGACATTTTTCATGTTCCAAAGCCATGGCTTAAACAAAAGTTTTAGAAAATGTTTGAAATATCGCCATAGGTGAGGGTCCCTTAAAGATAGATATACTACAATAGGATATTAGCATATTCTTGCAGGAAACCAGTCAGACTCGGTGATCTAAATAGTTTGCTTCAGGAGCTGAAGAATAACAGCCCGTTTGTGTAAGTCAGGGTTTCCCAACCATATGCTTACTTTAAGATGTGTGGACTTCAACTCCCAGAATTCCCCAGTCAGCAATGCTGATAGACCCACCCATACTGCAGTTCTTTGAGAAATGGACTTTAAATCGTGGGAAGCCTTTTAGCCATAAGGAGACAATCATTAAGGTAGGAAAAACCCAGCCACTGGAAGGTGGTTTCGTCACTTGCAGATCTCAATCTTGTCTGCTAGCTAATTATTATGTTTATGGGATTATGGTTGTGGCTATTACTTTGCAGGTTATTATCCATAATTTACTCATTAGTACTTAATGACATTCCATGCTTGTGCCGGCAGCTTCAAAACATACCTGATCTTTGTACGGTGATCATTCCACTTCCTAATGTTGACATCAATGATAACAAACTAAATTGTATCTTTGCTTTCATTTTGTTAATAAGCTTTCCTTATTACCATCCAGCTTGAGGTGTTTTCTTTATATATGCTTAAAAAAAACAACCTCTGATGCCATACAAAATGCAACTACTGGCAGTTTTCACAGTTCTCCGAAGGATTAGATCAGAAACAGGTGTAGGTGACAGTAAACCTCTTAGGCTGCTTCACTGAAATTAAACTTGTATGTTGCCAGACTTAACAAATCTGGGCAGCGCACAAGGTACCCACACAAACATACATATAAGCTTTTTTTAAAAAAAAACACCAAACTATACCGTTAGAAAGTTAGCATATCATGGTATATATCTGGCAGTTGGCCAGATATATATTCCTTATAAAAGAAGCATTGAATATCGCACATCGCCACCAACATAATAAATAATGCAGTCCTTTCTATTTTCTGTGTGTGAGTGTGTGTTTGCCTTGGAGTCAACCAGAGACTAGTGCCTGCTGTTTTCCTGGCAGCTTTTCCCAGAAATTTTCTGCTCCATTATGCTACCAGTAATATAGACCATCAGTTCTTTGTGCTATTCCTATAACCTTCTCTCCATTTTAGCTGGATAAACTTATTATAAGAGAGACTATAATTTATTTCCAACAATCTGGGAGCTTCAAAACTATTTTTCCCAGCCAGGAAAAGAATAATTTGTCTCTATTAATATTAAAAGTGCATTATTTGAAATGAAGCTTAATGGACAGCCACCTTGCCAGGCTGAGTGGAGCAGGCCTGTAAACAGATTCTATTATGAGGCACAATAGATGGAGCGTTTATTACTGTTTTCTTCTAATCTAAACAATTGGAGGAAATCAAGGCAGAATGTTTGTTGTAGAACAGCTTGAGGTTGTATGACTCACTTTAGCTTCAACAAGAAGCGTGCATATATACAAATCCAGAGAGAAAGAAAGATTGAGATGAAATGAGATTCAGTAGTATTCCAGAAGCAAGAATGTTCCAGGGGTGTGGAATTATAGCTCCCATAACCCCAACAGGTAGGAAAAAAAGCTGAAACGGGCAAATCAAACAGACCTTCAAAACCAGTGTTCCTCAATCTTGGCAACTTGAAAATGTGTGGA